AAAAAAATTATCCACAAACAACAAAAAACTAATCACAATATTGAAAACTAGATTTCAAATCAAAATCCTATTCTGGCCATCTTCTATACTAATCCTGAATCAAAAAGAAAAAGAATCAGAATCCAAGACTCACAGAAATTCACTAAGCCCACCAAGCACCTAATAATAAAAATTTTTAACAAATAATGAAAATCCCAGAATAATAACTACACACTTGTCTCATATCAATTTCAGTCTTCCAAAGAATGTAAGATTTGGCGCCAATACTCACTCAGCAACTATTTGAGAATTCTCCATCCAAACCCCAGTTCCTTTTTTCTAATTCACATCAAGCCAAGGGTAGACTGGTTCTTTCTGTTTCGCTAATTAAAATTGTCACCGCCGGCTGAATCTCATCAACAGAAATATGAAAACTAACTATATCAAATGAAGCAGATTACGATGCTTTCATGCATTTGCTTGTTGATAACAAAATTTAATATAATATCTCACAATCTCAAAAGTGAGCACCCACTAAAACTCATGATTTGAGGGCTTCTTTCTGTAACCCTGATCAAAGTTGTACAGACTGCAATCGAGGTGCTAGGTTTTCTGTACCCAAGATTTTACAACTGAAACGTTACAAGAGCAAAAGACGGCTGCTGCTCTTCTGAGAGCAAATACACAACAGCATGAAGGTGGATGAAATTTACTGAGTGATGAAACTTCTATAAACTGAGGTTAAAATTGAGATTTTCAGAGGCAGCAAAGGTCCTTCTCAATGCTATCAGGACTTTTTTTCACAGCTCTGAAGCCTGTAATCTTTCCTAGAAATGCATTTATATTTGCCTCATCAGGCGAGAGATTGTACTAAACCCTATGAAGTGTGCCATCAGTTCTTGACCTCATGGCATCAACTAGAAATACTGTTTGCACTTCAAATCTAGGAACAACAAAGTATGAAACAGAAAACCTATTGCTTAGAACAGTTTGACCACTGATCTGGCCAAAAAACTCAAAGCCTCCCTTCTCAGTCATCTTTTACTTGCCCCACTGTTAATTTAAAGCTTTTTGAGAATCACATCCGCTGGTGTAGTTCATATAAGTATCTTGGTGTGATCCTCTTTCAAATTAATCGGGCTTCTTCATATTCAGTACAGTGCTAAAAAAGTGAAAACAGTTAGATCCTAGATATTCCCATTTTTAGCACAAAAGAGCAGTCTGTCAATTAAAAAAAGATCTTCTCTATACATTGATTTTGAGACCAATTTCCATGTATGTATGTACCATCTGGAGTACTGCTGCAAAGACACATATAGTAATACTGAAAACCTTTCAAAGCAAAACCTTACACTTAGCTCATAATATACCGTGGTAAATCTGCAATGATGTTATTCATTCAGACCTACACATTAAAAACATTGGCATATTAATTAAAGTCTTAGTCAAAATTTATTTTCTACAATTCAACAGACATAATTTTGCACTTCAGAGTATTCCTACTTAAGACTTTGCAATTCCTACCTCAGCTAAACAACAAAGATCTATTACTGGCCAACAGTACGGCATCTTCTTGTGATCTAAAATGTAAGAGCTATTAGAGGTCTGAATTCATCACAGTATAATAGGTATGCTTAAAATACCATACGATTTCTGACGTTAACTTCTATCATCTGAGAGGATCCTCATTATTTATCTCTCCACTACCACAATTACACCAGTTCCCACAGATAAAATTCTGCAATGGATATTTAAAATGTTTATCATGTCATCAAGTCACAGGTTCTACTCTCACTAACTACTCTTAATTTTCAAAATTTTAATATGCTTAAAGGCTTGCTTTTTTCCTCTAAACTTTCTCAAGTGATGTGGACTTGCATTTTTTTAATATCTATCAGTACTTGTTCCTAATTCTACTCATTATTTAAATTTTATGATATGGATTAATTGGTACTATACCAAAAAAACTTGAAAATAATTAATGCTTGGAATTTAATATTGCAAGAAACAGGAAAAAAAAATTAATCCAATAAAAACAGTAGCAGCAATACATACAGCTGACATTTTAACCCTCTGAGTGGCACAGGATTTTTGATTTCTCAGGAAGATCTGTAGTTAAACAGCACTTTTGCTAAATTTGTATAATTATTTATTTTGGTCTCTATAAACTTACATTCACTAAGATAACATTTATATTATGAAAGGAAAAAGGAAAGCAAAATACCTTAAATTGTATGCTAATATGTACCACGTGACAAACAATCTCATGACTAGATAAAGCCGGTCATGCTGCTCAGAGGATTAAGATCGGGTTGCCCGGAAAATAATGCAGGTTTTTGCAGTTGTTTATCTTTCCTGTATATTTTTAGCAACAAAAATACTTTGAATTACATTGGATTATATATCATTTTGAAGCTTTTTTTTACTTTATATTTCTATAATAATCATTTTGTTCCAAAATTATTTAAAAAAATATTTACTAGGTGTTTTTTTCTAGATGTCAAAACGGGATTTTCGGCAAATTTACTTTTATGAGTACAAGCTAGACTGCAGCGCAGCACAAACGGCTCGAAATGTCAGCGAAGTATGGGACGAGAAAAGTGTTAATAAAATCTACAGTTCTATGGTAGTACCAAAAGTTTCGCGATGGAGAATTTGACCTGGAAGATCAAGAGGGTCATGGATGCTGATGCTTTCAGCTGTTGATGACGACGATTTGAAGACTAGTTGAAACAAACCCCGGCACAGCTGTTCGAGAGCTTGCTGAGGAGCTTGGCATAAGCAAAACAATGATTTCTGATCACTTGAATTGTATAGGAAAGTCAAAGAAGCTCGATAAGTGAGTGCCACACAAATTGAGTGAAAATAAAAAAAATTGCAATGTTGAAGTGCCTTCTACTCTTCTTCTTCACAATAAAAATGACCTTTTTCTTGAATTGTTATGATGAAAAATGGATTCTCTATAAGAACCAGCAATGTTTGGCTCAGTGGTTGGACCGCAATCAGACACCACAACACTTTCCAAAGCCAAATTTGCTCTAAAAGAAAATGATGGTGACTGTTCGGTGATCTGCGGCCGGTCTCATCCACCACAGCTTCCTTAATCTGGGCAAAATGATTACGGCAGATAAGTACTGTTGGCAAATCGGCAAAATGCACCAAAAATTGCAATGCATGTGCTCGGCATTGGTCAACAGAAAGAGGCCAGTTCTCCAAAACAATGCTTGGATGTCATGCAACCCATCCTACAGAAATCGAATGAATTAGGATACGAGAGTCTCCCTCTTCCCCCATACTTGCTTGACCTCTCGCCGACCGATTACTACTTTTTCAAACATCTGGATAACTTTCTACAGCAGAAATGCTTCAGAAACCAAGATGAGGCCAAAAACTCCTTTAACAACTTTATCGCGTCCAGAATTCCAGAATATTATTTTACCAGAATAAATGAACTTATATCTTGTTGGCAAAAATGCATTGATTCAGCTGGTGCTTATTTTGATTAATAAAATTGTTTTCCAGTTATGATACTTTAAAGATATAGGTTAAAAACCAGCATTATTTTCCAGACAACCTAATACAATGATTAACTTGTGTTCAAATGTCGGGGAATGGTACAGCTGCTTGGAGGTTTCCATGTTTTCTTTAGGGTGTAATGTAAATGTGAACCACTGTCCCTTAGAAATTCTTGCATGAAAGCATTCTTTCCTTAGGCAGACAGGTATTGTAAGCTTTGAATGTCGTCATATGAATTAAACAAGCATACAAACATTACACAGATATTACTGCTTTCTATTTAATTTTAAAAGTCATGAAACTTCCAACTTGAAGTAGTCGGGTGTTTATATCTTTTAAAGATAATTTGTGAATGCAGCTTAATTTAACAATTATGCAATTTCAAAGCTGAAATTAAAAATATTTTAACTAAAGAGAGATCGGAAAGAACATTCTATAAACATAAGGTAATGAATACTTAGGTAAGATATTCACTTTGTGAAGAAAAACTGTCAAACATAGGTATTCCCTTTGCAGAGTGCTCCATGAAGTCATTGCTCCTGTTACGCAGATAGAATTCTTCTATTTTGCCATATTACAATAATATGGGCTATTACTATTTCTGTTATTTCAGTATTATTCATTTCTATCAAAAAGGTTTTTTAATGTTAAAAATTATAAAGCTTTGCTTATGTCATTTCTCAGAATATATAAAGCTACGATTTAAAAATATGAGAACAGTTATATGAAACATATACTTGTGATGAATATAGAGGTGTACAGATATAGTTAATTTGAAGGAATGTGAATTTACCACTTTGCGTCATGTGAAAAATATCTAGACTTGGCTCTGCCAGATAGTACACAATTTTGTACGTGATGCAAAATATCCCAGGCATCCTTTAATATTATTTGGTATACTTTAGTACAAGAGATGAGTTTATTTTTTAATACAATAGCAAACTAATTAAAGAAAGTCCATGGCATACCCTATCAGTATATGTAAGAGAAGCATACCAACAATAGACTTCTAAATCAATTCCAAATTGGCATTAATTTTAGAGAAATACTTAAAATCATTCACTAAAGTTGTCATATCTTGATGAATGGGAAGAAACTTATCTAAATTTAATCTAATTATCTAAGAGATTTGAAAAATTTTAGCAGAAAGATAAATTAAAGAATGACCAATGGACCAAAAATATTCACAATAAGTTGTTTATACTCTCTTTTTTAGCTTTTTCTGGATATAATTTTGAAAGGAATGTTATGAATTTTCTAGGAATTTTAGCCTGATAAGATCAAGAACTTGGTGCATTTTATTACCCTAACAGAAAGCAGAACCTAGAGAATTTACGTAATTTTGTATGTAAAAGAAAAGAAGAGGGTGAAAATAAGAGTACTGAGAAGAATTTTAAGATAAGTTCTCAGAGTGCTTTTGGGAGAAGAATTTGCTTACACTGAAAAAAGAATGTTTTTTAAAAATTCTTAAATTAAAAAAACAAACATGATATAAATATACTAACTTGTATTCTTTCAGTATAATTATCAAGCAAAAGAACTCCAGATCCAGCTACTTTCTTTGTCTCAACCATAGTTTTTAGATCAGCTAAAAGTGACATGTGCTTGGACATATCTGTTGCAAGCACCTGCAATCATATTATGATTGTTTTAGAAATACTGAGTCCATCTAGTAAAGGACAAAACACAAAGAAAAACTTCAAAAAATTGAATGAGAGAGAGCTTAGACAAAGTAAATAACTGTATAGGTAGGTAATATATGTTCATATTATAACTATAAATTATACAGAGTGTTTGAAAATCATGGCTACAAGTTTTATTTCCTTAAATACTGAACCAATACATAAATTATACATTCTACAGTTTCTTAACAGTCATAATTTTATGTAAATGATCTTAATACTCTAGATGGTTATGAATCTTAAAAAAAAAAATAAATAAATCTTCCTTTTGTGTTGTCCAATTACAAACTGAATAATGATTGCTCCTTTATCTAATATTTAATTCCCAAAATCAGCATTTCGTAGCTACCACTTAGCTTCTGCAGAAGTTTCCTTACTGCTTCCAGTATGTTCAGATGTTGCAACCTGGAGATCAGCAACAGCTTGTTAACTGTGTGAATATTTTCTTCCTCAGATATGATCAAGAGATGGCATGGCTGCTGTGGATATTATGGATGGATAAGGTGCATTAACTGGGAACATAAACTCCAAGAACTAAGTTCGGTGAGCTGATGAAAATCATGATGTGGCACTTGCACCTTCACATGAAGGTAAAGTAACTGTGCGGTATGGCATCACCAGCACATTTGTTGTCGGTGCATGCTTCTTTGAAGAGGTCTCTTTCATAGGTATGAAAACACGCTCCATCACAAATACTTGGTATATAACAATGCTGTAGAATAAACTTTGCAGTTTTGTGGCCAAGCTGATCCCCTAACCTCACCCCAATAGATTTCTAGTTCTGGTGTTATCTGAAATTGAAGGTCTACACATCAGACCCACAAGACATATCCGAATTGAAAGATACCATAAAACGTTAAGTTATACAGATTCCTCCTGCTATGTTATATTTGTTATTGTTGTCAACAATCTCCCACATACAAGGCATTATTGTCTGCTAAGGAGGGCAGGTTGAAAACTTGTAATTCCAATGAAAGTTTTTTTTTTTTTTTTTCCCTCAACTCTCTTACATTGTCTATAGTCCTTAAAAATACTCTTCAGTAATTTTCATTATATGTGTATCATTTCAGCATTATTTATGGTGTTAAATGTGCTGATAATTTGCACAGGAGAAAAAGTAGGTGTTACCATTTGAAAATTGTGAAATTTTTTCACTGTAACCATAAACCATGAGAGCTCTGTTGTTTCAAACATCACAATCTAGAATATCTTCAAATAACATATGAAATTTCATTTTGTTTGTCTGAGCACAGAGGTCACTAGGGCTTCATATATAGGGAAAGCTTATGACTATCTTGTACTTTATTCATAAATGTTGTCATTAAGGACAGAAAGAGTTCAGAAATTCAAGATCTTTTGTAAAATATATACTTCAGTTTTACAATGCCATTACACCAACATTAAGCAGTAAAGATGATGGGCAAACCTCAACAGAAGTAAGAAAACTAATAAAACAAAATAAAAATGATCTGCATGAAAAATCAATATATATAAAAAGGGACAGAGGGAGGAAAATGACAAGATAGTTTTATAATGCAAATAAAAAATGAAATGATACAAACAAATAAGAAAAATTACCATATCAATGGCCATTTTTCTCAAGGTTTGTCTCTGTTTCTTAGTTAAACTTTGAAAAATATTACAGTTTTCATCTTGCAGCAACTTGAATCCAACAGCCAAAGAATGGTTTTCCAAGACAGATTCATCATTATACATGAGTGCTAATTCAGAACCTGAAAAATAATTATTTGAAACATGCTGGTTAAAGTGTATTTCAATAATCCATAAGATACAAACATTTTATATTTTTTCTGGAGCTATTTTTAGCAACTACTCAGAAAAAGTTATACCAAAAAAAATATGCAAATTTTAAAGGTTCTGGATTTTTAACTGAATTCTTCAAAAAAAGGTTAATAAAATCACTTAAGTCTGCACTTAAAAGAATGTATAAAACTACATAAAAATATAACATGCATGATTTTTAACACATAATGTGTAATTACTCACCAATCTAAAACATTGAGCCTTAAGAGTTTATTAAACTTAAGAGTTTATTATGCACAGTTTATTACAACAGCCTTTAAGCCAATTTATTACAACCTTATCATAGTGTCAGTTTCAATACCCCTGACCAATGGTTAATGCTATCGACTTCTGTATTGCTGAACTCAAGTTCAAATCCCACAGAAGGCTTGGATGTTTGCAAGCATTAAGTGTGCCATGGAGGCACTAAAATTTTGGCAAATCAAATCTTCTTGAGAGGTTTGCAGATATGGAAGATCCTCTGATCCATCCCCCAGAGCTAAAACGGCTCTTGCAGAAGCAACCCTCTTAAAACATCCACTTCCAGGTGCTTCTTTAAGTCTTTGGACTGAAGCCTCTGATGTCACTAACAGAAGTTACTTAAAGCAACTTCCTAATGGAAAATGAGAACCCATTGCATTTTTGTACATGGAACTTCCCAAAAGTCAAAGCAATTGGTTCACTTATGACAGAAAACCTTTGAGAATTTATCTATCAATACTGATCAAAAGTCTCTAATTATGCCTTTCAGCAAAAGACTGACATGTACATGCCACCAAGGCATTTAGATTTTTAGATTTCCCATCACAGTTCTCTACTGATATTGGACACCAAACTAGGTCTGAAAATATAATTGGTGATTCTTTGTCTCATATAGAAACTGATTGTATATCAAAAGACATTGTAGATTTTCATAGTATGTCTCTTGCACAAATGGAAGATGCTAAGCTTAAAGAATTAAGTTTTAAATTAGAGAAACATTTTCCTCAAGAAATTACTCTGTTTTGTGATATGTCTATAAGTTCATCTCCACTTATCCCAAAATGTTTTTGTTCTAAAATTTGTGAAAATATTCATATTTCTCATGCAGGCACATCAGCAATGATGACTACAAGATGTTATTTTTTGGCCCAATGTGAAAACATTCATAAAAACAGCAGTTGAGACCTGTCAGAACTGCCAGTGTTCAAAAATTCAAAGACCCACAAAATCACCTACTAACACATTTTCTAGGCCTGGTGATCATTGCTCATATTAATATAGATTTTATCAGCCCTCTTCCCCCTTCTGAAGGGTACACTTATTGTATGGCAGTAACAGACCATTTCACCAGATAGTCGCAAGTACTCATAGCTAAAGATATGACTGAAGAAACTACCTGTAAGGCAATTATTCGTGTTTGGATCTCTAGATTTGGCTGTCCTGTCATTACATAACAGATCGAGGACACAGTTTTGAATCTTACTTATTTCAACAACTTACAAATCTGCATTTGAGCTGCATTCTTTTAAATTCCTATCATCCTCAGATGAATGCATTGGTGGAGCATTTACACAGACCTCTTAAATGTCCTTTAATTGTCCATGGTAATTCTACATCAACTAAAGCTAGCCTTATTGTGTTGCTAGGCATTCAATGCCCACCAGTGGTCGAGGAGTGAAGTTGCTGAACACTGGTAGTTCAATTCGGGGTTTGAATCCCAGTGAATCAGCTGGCTGTAGGGCCATTTTCATGGTTTTCCCATGAGTATTGTGCAAAAGAACCAGTTTCTCTTTATATGTCCTCCATAAAGGCATCTGACAGCACTCGAGTGCTTTGCTATAATCAAGTAAACAAAACCTAGGCATTTGATCCACCGTAAATGCTTCATGCAAAGAATTAGTATGCAGAACAACTTTTAGAATACCCACTGATATTTCTGCATAGTAACTTAAACTTATATATCTCAACTAAGATCATTAATGCAGTCTCTGAAACCTACCTCTAAACATTTCCTCAGCAGAATACATCAATTTATGTAAATTGCTCGTTGCAAACTTGCTCTTGTGTTTTTGCGTACTGATAGCGTAAAATTTTCACTCACACTCCCATATACTGGTCCACATCTTGTTCCATACAGAAAGGAAAATGATTTTGCAATAAGAATAAATGATAAAAATGTGATAGTCTGATGATCATTTAAAACCTGGGTTCATGTTGACTGAATTGACAGATTTTCATGCAAATCTGAATCTTTTTCCATCCCCAAAGTTTATGAAAAGTATCAAAATGCATCAATTTCAGACCTACCATGTATATTTTCCAACAAGACAAAGCACCATCATCTAATGCACTGAATTATTATATTATCATTTTACAGTACACCAAATTGTGACAGCTCTTGGATTTTTGCACATGTATTTTGATATATGAATATGAATGATTTCAAATGAAAACTGCATTTATGCATACTTATTCAACATATTTTTGTCATTTTGTCCTGCTATCACTTTGTTCACTGTGGAGATATCTTCAGTGATCATACCAATATCAATAATCGATATAGGAAGAGTTTCTACAGCTCAACGTTCCACCCAGAAAGAGTGTCAGTCTTCCCCACTGCATGGCTGCAGTACATTGTTCTCTAATGTTCTTGTCTTTGTAAACAATATTTATTTTAATTAAATTTTAGGCAGTAAATTATGGAGTCATATGTTCATCTACATGATACACACACATCATGAATCTTCACAACAGCTTATGACTGAGGTGGCACATGCACAAAACAGTTACTTAGGCCTGCAGAGTATAAAAGAAAAAAACTATGCTAGGAGGGATGATGGTGGTGAGAATGAATGATCCGAGATCTGAATAAACAGCTTTTTTGAAATTATGTGACACTTCATTTTTAAAGTTAATTTAAATAAGTTATTTGTTTTCTTTTAATTACTTTTCACATAGTATTGGATCTAAGGCAGTTACTGCTTATTGCATTCAATAAATCAATACTCAGGAAGAAAGAGGAAAAGAACAGAGAAGTCTCACTACACACATCTCTTTTTAACATAATGGTAACTATATTCTAAATCTTTCAGTGGCCTAGTACGTAAGTTCACTGAACACTGATATGTTCAAATAGCAGTAAATGATGTAGATACATACATAGGCTTTTTTAATAATTTTCCTATGTGTAAAGGAAATATACCAGTTTTTCATAGACAACCCCTGATGAAAACACCTTTCCCTTCAGGCAGATAAACCTTCGCAAGCTTTGCCACATTCAGTAACCCAGACAAACTATATTCCAAGTTACTCTATATATTTTCCTCCTCTATTATTGAATGTAGGGAAAACAGAAGTTTCTATAATCACTATTTTTATATTTATACCAAGGAATAATAAGAATGTGCTTCTAACAGCTATTCTCTCAAAAAGCAACTACTATATAATTTTAGAACTCGGTACTCAATTTATTAGCATAATTCTTGCAACATAAGTAAGAACAAGAAATTGATTAGTAACATCAGTATCATGACATCTTGATTATCATCAACCATCATCATACATCAATATTATGCAAAATAATGCCAGTTAAATTTTGGTTAATGAACCGTTAAAGAGATGAATACAATATCTTCTTATATGCTACTTACTGGAGTTCACTAAGTATTGGTTTGTAACACCTGGGTGATCAACATCATGAACTGCTGCTGCAAAGAGTGCAGCTAATATTTCCAAATCAGTAAAAACGGACTGTAAAAAAATCATATAAGAAAATAAGCAATTTGAAAATAGTGTCAAAAATTTTTTTTAAAAGGTACATCACATTACAGATATATAGGCTAAACTATAACAATTAAATGAAAATTACAACTATTAATTATAGTTTTAACATTTATGATTAAAAGAGAAACAATACAGAAACGGAAAAATTATGTTTCTGTATACAATGCAGGCAAGAAGCAACACTGGTTAGTGCCTAATAGCCATAGTAATAAAATAAACTGCACCAAGTGTTGATAAGACAAATTACATAATAGTTATGTTAAAAAAATGTGAAAGTTGCATGTAGTATTATGTATGTACTATTTTTCCAAATGGGATTGAACTTCATTCACAAATGATGCAAAATGTGCCTGCCCATCCACATTTGGAAATTGATTACATGGAAAATCATTCATGAAAACCTTCAGCTTACCATATGAGAAGCTGTTCTATCGCATGTTATGCAATTTGATGGGTAAACTTCAGATGAAAAATGATTTCTGCTAAGTTTCTGCCATGTATATATTAACAGCCAAAATAAAGAAAAAATGGGGAACACTTTTAGAACAAAGAGTGCTGTAATGGCCAAAAAATTTTTACCCAAATTTTCTAAAGCTGGTGATTACTGGTGATGAAATGTAAGTACATCACTTTAATGTGGAAATGAGAGTTTATCTATCACTGTGGATCAAAAAATCCTCACCAAGCCATAGAAAATCATAAATAGATCCCAAGTGATCTTGATTCCATACCTTGACTGGTACAAACTTATTCATACTTGTATTGCATTATTCCACGAATACAGTTTAAATACCATGCAATTACATGAAAATGTGCAACATGAAAATGAGTGGCTACAAAAAGTTTAGCAGTGTCGTATGGAATCTTTTTTCCAACTAAAAGGTTATTGATAATGGATTCCATGCGTGCTCATTTACTTGAGTCAGTGAAAACCAGATGTCAAAAATTGTCGACGACCATAGCAATAATTCCTGGTGGTTTGACAAAAATCTTATAACCGTTATATTTGTCAGGTAATAAATCCTTCAAAGCTGAAGACCGAAAGCGGTGGAAGTGTTGGATGAGTGAAGGCTTGCATACGTATACCAAAAGCGGTAAAATGCATAGAGCATCTTATGAAGAAGTTGCAAAGCGGGTAGGAAGTGCGTGGAAATCGGTAGAAACATCGTCAATAATAGCAGGATTCAAAGAAGCTGAAATTATATCCTTAGATAAAGAGACTAAACCAAGAGGATGAATGTGACGATCTGGAAGACTTAGATCAGGATTTACTAAATCTTTTTAATTCAATAGTGAAGAATCGATTTTGATGCTTCATTGATGATAGTTTTGCTGTAATTCCTTTTTAAGTAAAATTTAAAATTTCCTTTTGCCATCCAAATTCAATATTTCGTTGTTGCAACATTTTTATAATAATCTGAGTATTACAAATATGGACTTCTTCAGTGGGTAATATAAGTATATACGTGAAGGTAAATATATTTTCCACATTTCTTACCTTTAATTTATTTTTGAGTTATGGTTTCATTTTATGCATTTTTCTTAATTGGTATGTCATATATCAGGACTTAGGTTGAGATTTTGCATCTATACGGCTCACGACGATGTCACGTGCAATTTAATCTATTGCGGCGTTTCTGTGTAATTTTAATTTTTTTCCCGTCATTTTTCTTGAGTGCGGTGTTTACACTGATGCGGCCTTTCTTCCGGAAATTATGGTAAGTTCTCATTTACAAAAAACATTTGGACAAAAGCAAGGTAGAAATGCAGCAGAAAATTATTATTACTTAGATTTTAATAAAACACATAAACTTATATCAATGAATTGGAATAACAGTAGTCTTTTATGATACAGGGAAAAACTACTAGCTCACCAATAAAATCTGTAAATCAATGTAATATTACCAAAACTTATGGGAGTAAACTTTAATATCAAACAATTACACATGAATTGACACAAGATGAAGATGCAAAATAATTATGGAAAAACTAGCTGTTCCCTCCAAAGACAATAAATTCACTGCAGTAGCCATGCTGAGCTTCAAATGATGTTGAACTTGATGCCCTAATATGTAATACAGTCGAATAGACAAAAAGTTAAACATTTATAGTGCATTAGACAGTGAACTGATGAAATCTTAGCTACAATACTGATTGTATAGTTTTTAGATTTATAAAATGAAGGAAACTGAACATTTTAACATTTAATAAAAGCATTGAAAATGTGAAATTTCTGATCTGCTCCAGATCAAAGCCATTACAGTTTACTACGGGGGGGGGGAGCTGAATAATTAAAAAAGTTAAAAATAATTAGGAAGAAAAAAACTTAGGGGTAAACTAATTTCATTTGACAGAAAGGCTATTGAAGTCTTTAACTAGCTGTCAACAAGCTTGTTGATTGCTTGCAAAATGAAAAAATACCACAATGCTTCCTAGAAAGATTAACTAAACTAAAATGAAAAAAATTATAAGAACACTTCACAAGCTCAATAAAATAAAAGCAAAGAGAAACTATAATTACTGAGTGTTAAATTGTAGTTGTCTACTAATACTTTAAATTATTAGCTGCTTTAAAATATGGCACTCAAAGCAAAAGAATAAAAGTGCAACAAATCAAGTATAATAAGAAAAAATTACAGTTTATAAGTGATTTCAAACTGCTAATAACAAACACTTGTAAATGATTTCAGATGCTGAAATAGTACATTGCTTACCATTATTTCACACCTAAAATTTCATAAGCACCTACAGAAACTTACATAAAAATAAATACAATTTCCTTTAGAAAAAATGAAAGTTATCTTACATTTAAAGCTGGGGAAGACAACAAAACATGAACTGACTGAGTTACATCACAAGCATGTATACGATTATGGTATGGCACTTTAAGATAATGATCTTCAAGAGTCATTAGAAAATTTAAAAGTGTTTTGGAAGGAATTTTGAATGTTTTCAACAAGTCTCGCTCCTATCAAAAGAGAAAAAACATAATCAGGATTTATTAAAATTAACAATAATTTTTCAATAAAATATTATGACAAAATAGAGCCAACAGAAAGTACCAAGCTTTTATTTATTTTAATAAACGTGACAAAACACAAAATGAAACTATAAAAACAGCTAATAGGATTCTAGACATTCTCCACAAATAATATTAACTTTTAAATACAAAACAATTTAATTTTCTCTAAATGATGCGTAAATGAATGTATAATTTCAACCTCAGCATTCAACAACAGCATTTAAAATCAGTTATCAAATCTAAAAATATTATAAATTAGACACCTAAATGTCCTTCATTGCAAATGCAGGATAAATATACACTGCTGGCCACCCAAATTGCAACACCAAGAAAGACAAGAGATATCACAACAAAATTTATTTAGTAGATAATATGTTGACCAAGTATCAAATGATTAAATTTATAGACTTCTGTGAAGTGTGGTTCCTTCCAGAATCAGTAGCCAGAGTAGCCGCTATTGTTGGAGATCACTTCTGCCACATGCCTCAGCACTGATTCAAAGAGACTTTGGATGTGTTCTTGGGATACAGCAGACCAAGCAGCTTCCACACGTTACCAAAGTTGATCTGGTGTGGCAGCTTGGGATGTAATTTGGGTCAATCGTTCAGCAACCATGGACCACATGTTTTCTATCGGCGAAAAATCCAGAGAGCGAGCCGGCTAGGGAAACAATTCAATCTGGCAATTGACAAAGAACCCTTGGACAACGTGTGCCACATGTGGTCGTGCATTATCCTGTTGAAATATGGCTGTGGTAATAAGCCCTGAAGGTAAGGAAGGACAACTGGCTCCAACACCTTGGAGATGTAGCGCTGGCTGTTTAAAGTACCGGCAATGCCTACTAGAGGAGTGCGAGAGTGATATCCAATACCGCCCCCATATCATAATACCTGATGCAGGACCAGTGTGGCGGTGCATAACGCAGCTGTTCAGCATCCTCTCTCGACAGTGTCTCCAGACTCGAATCTGACCATCGCGGTGTCGCAGACAGAAGCATGACTCATCAGTAAAGAAAAGTTCATTCCATTCCGCTCTCCACATCCTTTTTTCATTGCACCATTGGCGGCAGAGCCATCTGTGGTTCTACGTCAACAGTAGATGAAGCAATGGATGTCTTGCGGACAGACCACTCTGCTGTAAACAGCGTTAAATGGTACGCGCAGACACTGGATGATGCATTACAGACTGAATGTGCTGTGCTATGGTTCATGATGTGACTGAGTGATCCAACACTGTCATGTGCACAATGTTCCTGTCATCACGTGAAATGGCGCACTGAGGTGCGATTGAGCACATCAGTCCATCGTACCCTCCTGCATCCAATGGTCACATATCCGCATTACAGTTGTTTTGGTTTCGTCCAACACAACTAATTTCCTTCAAAGATAATTCACACTCTCGGTAGGCCACTATCTTTCCTCTGTCGAACTCGGATACATGATCAAACGATGATCAGTGTTTACTACGAGGGATAATTGATCGTTTTTTTGAAGAAAAAAAAACCACAAGATAAACACAATTGCCGAACTTGAAATAGTCAAAAAATCCAATGCCTTAAATAGCACTTTGAAGTGGTGCCACAGGCGCACATGACGTGTGTCTGCGCTGAAATTCTAATCATTTGCATATCTAACCTTCGCTTATGCATGTTGTAAATTTCATTTTATTTGCATGCTTCCTTCAGGGTGTTGTATTTATGGTGGCCAGTAGTGTACATTAACTAATTTAATTCCTGCATTATTTTAGAGCACTCTTGTATGCCTTTCAATATAATGCATTAAAACACTATTGCATCTGCACAGATATGTTTATTCATTTAAGTCATATATGTAATTAAAGGTAAGAACATATAAACGTTTACTCACTCTAAATATTTGGTATCCAACAGCTGTAAGAGGTCGATGTTCAGAACAATAATCAATTTTAAAAATGTCCAAACCCCAGTTATTCACTTCTTCTAGCATCTAAAATATAAAAACAAAATTCCCCATGACATTGCTTTTACAAACATTTTAGTAAAAAGATTAAAAATCAGCTATCAATATAAAAATATAATATAAAGTTAATCCACAGATGCACCAAAATGATCAACATGGGAATGGATGAATGGTATCTCATATTCCTAAAACACTTATTGCATCATAAAATGGATTTAAATACCCATACATTGATTTCTGTATTCATCAAGATTTAAGCTATACTTTTATGAATTTCAAGATAACTTTAAACATACTTAAGATTATTTTGTTCATTGTAAACAGACTGATCATAAATGTTTCTCACAAACACTTTTTTATATTTTTATGGCTTTGCTTTACAAACAATTAAAAAACATACACATTTACAAATTTTGTTCAGTGTTTTTAATAGTCTAAACATTTTTAGGCTCTTAAATGTAAGTTGAAGACATTCTGCATTCATTTAAAGGCCTGCCTTCTAAAAGCTTTAGTACGAACCATGGAAGTAAGAACAGATAGAAAAGCCTGCCTCCCACCACAGCTGAAGCAGTACTGTTGTGCTTTAGTATTTAAGTGGAGTGTGGTCTTTTTGTTTACATCCATGGCATGTCATATTGACAACGGTAAAGTACTACTTCCACACAAATCAAAAATCAAAGACACTTCTGCACAAAACATTCACTGCAGGATGGGTAATAGCAATTTGTATAGTTTAGTGACATTTCCGTACAAAACACATCTTAGTTAGGTATTGATAGCTTGCAACAGCGATTTTGATTATGAATTTGTTTTATAAAATTTTTATACTTCTTTCAGTGTCCTTGATAGTGCATTTTCTATTTTTCTTTTATGTTTCAAGTATCAAAATGCTTCAAATAAAATACATTTGTTTTATCCACATAGTACTGTAATACACCCTATTTAAAATTTTAGAGCAGAGGTATAATATTTGCTCATTTAGTGTTTACACAACTGAAAAATAATCACTTTCGCTTTACATATTTTAACTGAAAAATGAAATTACTTCACAATTCTGAAATCCTTTAACAACTATATAAATGGATATGCTAATAAGTCACTCTTTCCATTATTAACCATATATTTGTGCATAATTGTATACAGAAACATTTTGAAATTCAGCACAGATGCCATGTATAATCAAGATGATGTAATCATGTGAAGATGTCACACCATCAAAACAGCTTATTAAAAATTTTATGATAGGGTGATCCATGGAAGTGAAAAACCTTTGTGCATTCTGTTGCAGGAGGTTTCCACCAAAAATGTTTCTCTTATTGATTCCAGATTCTTAAAGGCTTTCCACATAAGTCTTTTCTTCCCAGAAATTTAAGGTTCATGCAATATTTGCACATAAAATACACTTACTTTTGCAAAAATATTATAAATAAATCAATACCTATGTGCCAATTGCATACAAAACTTATTTCATAGTCAGTAATTAAGAGAGTTGTATGGGAAAATATCACACTAAAGTTTAAATGTAATAAAAAATTATATGAATGAAAAATCTTTGTCATTCAACACATATATTGTTGAACAAAACACAACTGAATTTGATTTCTTATGTAATCACTAATAAAAGGAAAGAGACTGAGTAGTGGTCTGCTAATTTTAAAACAGTTTAAAATTTCTTTCTAATGTAATTAGAGAAAACTTGTGGAAACAATTCACTCAAATTAAAACTATTCTGAGAATGAAAAAAGGATAGCATTTTATTCCGTTCAAAAATGTATTTTTTCACATACTTAGGACTCCAAAATACTGTAGAAAAAGAAAATATACACATCTGTACCTATATTTACGATGTAATTACAAAATGCTTACTCCAAACATGTCAAAACCTATTAATCTTAATGACAAGTCACTGAATGTTTTGATAAGTCGCTGGTACGTCACTGATTTAAGGGAGTGTATGCGAAAAACCAGTTTGAGCCTCACCTCCTGCTTTCTATGTCCATCATAGGAACATATTTCCGTTACAGAATCAGTGGCTTTTCCACGGACAGCAAAAGAATCATGTTATTAATTCTAACATTTAACAAAGGAAAACAAAGTAACGTGGTACCTTGATTTACAAGCTTAACTCATTCTCATCAAAAGCCAGTTTTTCGTTTTCGTTCATGGAAGAACAAGTCATTCCCAGATTTAGAAATTTCGTTTTTTTTTTTGGGGGGGGGGGAAGGAGAAAAACAACAGTATCCATTTAAGTAGATATTGTTAGTTTTATTTATAAAACCCTTTGTTTTTACATGCTTTGTATAAAAAGAACAATTACAATTAATAAACAAAATTCTCAGAAATTTAATTTTCTTCCTCATTTTTTTCTTCTACTGCTCAATTAACTTATGTTGTTCTACAGTGGTCAGCTCGGTCTTGTGCTTCTTTACTAACTCATCTATATCTGCTTTATTAATGTCTAAATGAATGGTCTTACCCAGGAAAAGACATTATCTACAATGTTAAACTTGTTTTCAAGTCCTCCCACAACAATTCTTTGGGTATAGGCAAACCACAGATTTTCCCAGACTGATTATAGTGTTTGTGCAGAAACATTTGCTCATGCACAATTAATATGATGCAAACAGTAAAGGATATTTAAATAATTTTCCCAAAATTTCTTTTGGGTTAATTATGCGTAAGTGGTAAATTTAAAACATTATTGAAGAACTTTGGTATAAAGCTTTTTGAAATTGACAATAACATTTCAATCCATTGGTCCATTGGTTCAAGTAGTACAGCACAAAAGTCCAATATTCGGACCTGCAGACCACCAGCCAATAAATAAATTAAATAAAGCAAAAAAACCTTGCCCTTTTAAAATCAAGGAGCGGAGAATATAATACTGAACAAAAAGGACAGGGTGTGCTGCTAATGCGAATTTTCTTCTGTCTGACATTTTTGCATGTCACCTTCAAACACCTGTAGGCTAGGGAGCTGCTGGTATTTTCAAACACTTAGCCAGCTAGAGAGTCGCACCACAGCCAATAGCAATGTATTGGATCACACCACGATCACACTTTCAACACTTGAGCTGATGTGGAAGAGGGATAGGACTAGTGCTACAGAGTTAGCTACCCAGTACAACTTTAGGTGGCCAAGTCTGTTGCCCAGTACCTTCCTAAATTCTACAAAAAAAAAAAAAAAATGCTGCTCAGTGCTTTTTTTATGCTTTTATACTGAGAAAATTTCAACTAAGGTAGGAAAGCTTTAATTTATCAAAGTGCTTTTAAATATAGCGAAAATAAAATTATTTTTACTACGTATTTTTCATACTTCTTATTCTGAAATAGGTCGAATGACTCTAGATATTGATGTGAAACAAAACTCAATACAAATATTTAATGATTAAACTTTTCATGGAATCTTTCTATCTCTTTTGCAAATGTCAATGATATGATAAAGACAATTCAGATCAAATAAAATTTAATAAGAAATACCAGTAAAGATGACATAATAACATTTGCACAATTTATGCTTCATTAATTTAATAATGAAATTTTAACTACACATTTTATTTTATTTGAACAATTTAATTTTACTGCTGAAAAACACTTTCACTAGTAAAGGCTAAAAATGAAAAACTGTGAGATTCAGTGATCTAATGGGAGATCAGGAGATGGAGAGTACTGGGAAAGTTGGCAGTTATGCAGCACTCTTCAATTTATATATTTCTTTTCAAATAGAAAACTCAGCATACTTGACAATATTTCAAATAAAAGTTCATTCAACATACTGCCAATATACTTTTATTTGGAAATATATCAACATTGTTTTATCTTCTCCATAGAAACATCAACATATTGTATCAATACATGATTTTTCACATTAAATTTCTTGATATAAGATATTTTTATAAAATTTATACATGCCCTTTGATGACTTTTAATAGAATATCAGAATCAACTAGATCAAATAAAAATAGAATAGACAGTTAAAACCAACCTTTCCAAGTTCTATTTCATGAGGTGTTTCAACACCATATTTGGGCAATTTAGTTAAACTGTTGGTATGGCAAAGTGGCTTCTTAACACCAGAAATTTGAGACATGGTTTGACTGGTCTTCTGCTTCGAAGCATTTTGCGCTTCTTCATCCAAAAGAGCTGGCAAATCAAGTTCTTGTTGCTTGTCTACAGAAATAATTTTATAAATAAGATTGGGATTCAAAACACATGTAATGGAAATTTATGGCATGTTAAAAATACACTTATGTACATATAATAAAAAACACCCTTTCTGTGAAATGTTGAGAAATGAAAACAAGAAAAAAATAACTAAAAGACTAATTTGCACAATAATTATTATATTCAGTGGAATGATATTAGAAAGGGCTTTTTTGCAAAATTAATAGTAAAATGGGCAGCTGTAGCATAAAGTTTAGCTGATTGCATATTTTTTGTCAAGGGATCTATATAAAGGAATTCAGACTACAAAATTAAACAACTTCTAGGGTATAAATCATGCATTGAGTAACAATTTCTGTGAAATGCTAGATCTTAAACTTTTAGTCTAGGCTTCGGAGATTATGAAGCAAAACTTAAGTTATTCTACAGGTAGGCAATTATAAAACAAAACCCACACTTGCTGCAAAACGTTTCATTTATGAAACACAAAATACATACTAATGTTTCACTTAATTAAGATTAAAAATTTACATTCTTTATCACGAAAACTGGCTAGGATTTTTCTTCTGTCAGTAACGATTTGTAATCAGATTTTATTGTCTTTCAATTTGAAAATGTTCTTTCCAGATGCTCGTAAGTACTAATATAAGACTATATATATTTGAAATGAAAATATGCAACATCAGTTAAGCATTTCTAAAATTCGATCAGATACTTCTTTCCTGGTTAACAAGCATTATACTTCAGATTTAGCATTCACAATTAAAACTTAAAATAGAAATTTATCACACTCACAGCTGCTGCATAAGCATCTTAAATGGAGACATTAGTGAAGAAGAGATAGAGAAGTTAAAATCTACAACCTTTGGCTAACATTGAAAATACTACCCAGTGTTACATGATCTACTTGTAATTCTCTAAATACTCACAAATAGTTCATTTAGTGAGTTAGATTTTAAGATTTAGAAATAAATATCTCTGTAAGAAAGAACTGTAGGAGAGCGCATTTCTGAATTATAAAAAGCAGAGTTGAAATCAGTACAGATGATTCAACAAGAGTCACAGGAGAAGATAAATATTTAAAAGTCTGGCTATTTACCTAGATCAAGATACAATTGCATGTGTCAAGACATGCACTGTCAATAGAAAAGATAAAAGATTTTTGAAAGCCAATGGTTCTACAATCAAATCAAAAAGTTTTCCGGAAACTCACTGAAAATTATCCCATGTTGCCTTCAAATCTTGCAAAATATACTAGGAAAACAGCACACAAAATCATACAAAAGTGCATCATTTGTTAGTATTTCACTTCAAAGAAACTAGAACCTGATCTTGGACCATTATCAGAAAACTTTGTTCAGTATATGCTGCTATTTTTCAAATCACAGGAGTGGCCACAGCTGGACCATTATGTTTTAGAGGGACTCAGAAAGCAGGGGTACTGCTATTTATATGCACCATTTCCCAGGCAGTACATATAGAACTTGTCACCAGTTTATATGAGCCATTTTTTATGGCTTTTCATAGATTTGTTGCTAGACACGGAAAATGCTCCACTATTTATTGTTACAATGGTACCAATTTCATTGGTGCTGCTTTCATTTTTTGGATTGGAATCGAATTATAAGACTAAGCTATTCAGAACTCTTAAACATATTTAATATTCATGTTGAAATAAATAACAATAAAATCATGACGTCAAATATAAAAGTTTAAACTGATATCTACTATCTATGTAAGTTCAAACCACCAACTGCAGCCTGGTGGGAACGATTGATTTGAATGGTGACAGACCTCTTAAAAAGGATCTTAGATTTAGCAGAATTGCTTTATGAAGGATTGGTAAGTCCTTAGTGACTGTGAAGCATTAATGAATTGTCTGCCACTCACCTACCAATCAATCTGAAGACAAACAACTAGTTCCTATATCAGCTTCTGTTTTCCTGCAATACATCAAGGAATGGAATACACCAGATGTTGATGCTGTCAACCAACAGAATTAAAGAATCAAATACAGAAAAAAATCTGCAAAAAGATTTGAGAAATTGTCAAGAAGAATGCCTAGGCACCTTTAGAAATCAATGCCTAGGGCTTCTTGTACAAAGAACAAAAGATGAGATGCTCCTAAAATACCTGTTGGAGATAAAATGCTAACTGGAACAGACAATAGTAAAAGAAGCAACTGGCCACTAGGATAAGAAACAGAACTTATTCCTCGAAAAGATGGACATGTTCAACTTGTAAAAATACAAACTTCCCATTCAAAATTACTTCATCCTATTCAGCATGCGTATTCTTTGGAGTTTTCATTCCCAAATGTCATTCTAAAAGCAGAAAAAGTAAACTGTATTGATAATAAGGACTCAGTTGACTGAAAGTATCTTAAAATCTAAAATGAAAATATGTAGATCAGGTGCTCAGATCAAAGTTCCTGACAAGATGGATTTGCAAAAGGTAGACTTCAAATTATTTATACTATGTGTCACACTAATGTTAGCCTTAAAAAAAATATGTTCCATTACATTGTATATTTGAAGTCAAAATGATGTGAAAACATAAATAAAAGTTTCAGATTACAATGCATAATCAGAAGGTGAAAGGATGTTATTGTCTGCTTGTTAACCATTTATTTTAATATAGGCACACTAACTTTATATAAATGCAAGCAATATTACTGCAACTTGTGAGTGGCAACAATATGTAATTTCAATTTATTGTTGTTCTAAAAAGAATATTCTTTAAAAAATTACATATTAGAATGTAGGATTCCCTGACTTTCTATGTACAATAATATGCAGTAAATAAGAAAGTATTTACTTGAGCATTTTTGATGTGCAATGTGCCTTTATTAAAGCATTTGTGAAGCCTGGAGCTCAAAGATAAATAGTTTAATAGCAGGAAATTGGGTGAACTTTCGGATTGTATTTTTCAGTTCCATCAGCCATTCAAAATGTAAATGTAGCATTGGAGTTACTTCAATGCAGAAATAGTGAAATGGGTACAGCTTTGCTAACACCTACATTACTTCTGCTTATATTAAATTGCATGCCTTGCCCCAGGTGCTTAACTCTGGATTTGCTTCAACCCATCAATTGCTGTGAAAGCATAAGACCACTGTAGATTCTGCTACCAACCTTGAGGTGGCTTTGTGTTGGGAGAATGCTTCCAGTATTTCTCATTCTGTTATCTGAACTGCAAAATACTAAAAGCACAGCATTAGTATGGGATGACAATGAGATGAGAAGTGACAGAAATATTCCCTTGGAGCTCATAAAGCATTACCAGGTAAAGTACAGAGAGCAATACTTAATGTAATATGGTGTTACCCTGTGAAGCTCTGCTGTATCTAGTTGCTTCCAGACGTCATTTTTTTATGCAAGCATAGCAATGGCTGTTCATCTGTATAATCAATATGCATCTGTCATGAAATGCTAATTAGGCAAATTTGCTTTATTAACAAGCATTATGATGGGTAAAATAGACATTTCTTTTATTCTCATTCATGATGCAGTTTCTAACGTTTCCAATTAAACTGATTTTCTATACAATGCATATGACATAACCCTCCCCCCAATCTTCATTAAAATCATGAATTACACAGTTTGGCTCTTTGCTCATTTTGCCATGACTAGCAATTACAAACTATAGCAGAAAAAAAAAAATGTGAAACCTGTTACCAAAAATTCCAAAACATATTGAAGTTTTATGATACATTTTGGAAAAATTTGTTTACTTTCAGACACAACAGTATTTTTCAAATAAACTAAATATTCACAGTTTTCTAGTAAGTTAAAAATAATGAAAATGTATTTTAATATAAAATTTCCCAATTATGATAACAATCACAAAAACTAATAAATCACTAGAATACAAATTTTACTACAATTAATGAAAAAAAATACTTTGAATGTTTTAATGATTTAGGAACTATTGTTGAGAAAGACATTGTTAGAACACTGATTATTCAGAACTCTTAAACATATTTAATATTCATGTTGAAATAAATAACAATAAAATAATGACATCAAATATAAAAGTTTAAACTGATATCTACTATCTATGTAATACTGCCACAGCTCTAAGAGAATACTCACCAAGAAAAGTTGAGCAAATGTACTCAGAAATCTGACTACCGGACTTGGAATCAGAGAAAACACTCAATTCCTTATTAAGCATTCTCTTGAACTGCAAAGACACAAGATAATTTTGTGCAACATGAGTAAGATGAGCAAAAAATGGTTTCATGACACATGGCATTCAAGCAATGAGACACTAAAATAAAGATACTATATAAGAGGAAATTAATTAATATAGATAATTAAACTCTGCATTTTCAATTTATTACTGAATGTGATAATACTGCCAACCTAAAGCATATCAAACTACTTCACATCTTCCTTTTATATAAATATAGTTTTATACTTGTCCGTAAAAAGAGAGTTACTGAAACAAATGTTCTAAAATTTCCTATAAGGAAAGCTGAATGAAGATTCATTATTCTAAATGAAATTATTAACTTATACCATATTATATGTGAACTTGTTAGCATTTTTCATCATGTAAGAACATTTGATGCATTTTAATCTCGGTGAAAATAATTTTTAGCAATAGTTTATTACATATTGATTGCTGATTTAAATTACCTTTCAATTTAATGTTAGCAACACATTTATAGCTTTATACTGTCTAGTTACATAAATTATGTACTAAATATCTTCTAAGGAAAAGAAACACATATTTCCAAAATAAATACACAAACACACATAAAAACAAAAACACAAAAAAAAAAAAAAAAAAAAAAACTTTTAAGCCTGCAACAACATAGAACTGACAGCTAATATTAAATTTAAATACAAAGTAAATATCTTCAACCAACATGTAATAAAATATTGATAAAAATTAAGTTCAATTAGATGAAGGTTCAAGGATAAATGCTATTTTGAAACAGTTTATTTAGATCCTAAAATATATTGCATTTAATATTTGAAACTAAGTAACAAATTTTGCTGCTCTATCAATCAGTACACATTTCAATATCATTTAATTAAATTGCCATCATATTGTTGACAGGTTTAATTGGCAAAACAAGGTATTGTTATCAGCATAAACAAGTACTACAGTAATATTTCCATTACATATTTCTTTTTGGTGAAAAGCATAAAATGGCAATATAAATGTATATAAATTAGTAGTTTAAAAAATGTTTACAGCCAGCTTATGCCTAGATCACTGATTTGCATGGTCAAAACAAAAAGCTATAGAGACAAGCATTTATACTAGAGTAGTCTGAAAAACCTTTACGTCAGCTTATGCCTAGATCACTGATTTGTATGTCCAAAACAAAAGGCTATGGAGACTATGCATTTGTACCAGAAGAATGGGAATATACAGTACAAAGTCCGTAATCTGGATGCCCATTATCCGGAATGATCTATAATCCGGATCTCAAAGCCACAAACTTCTTTTTGTATGCTTTACGCATGCACGTAATGCATTTATGCATGTGCATTTAATGTATAATGGACGGTATAAGCTAGGCTAGCATTGCAAACTAAAGGTGAAATTTTCCAGTTATGATTTTGTAAAGAAATGGGAGAAGGGGTAATAATGAAGATGATTAACAGGAGTTTTTCATTGTGATGACAATGCCTCAATCATCAATCAACTAACGGACGTAGAAATCTAGTTCCAGAAAATACCGCTTCCAATAGTGAAGAAAGTGAGAGGTTATTGAAAACTAAAAAATTTCGATTGACAAGTTAATCGGCATTCTCGACACAGCAATTACAGGACTTGAACAGTGGAACTTTGTAACTGAACAAGAAATTATGTCTGTTTATCGAATTAAAGAGAAAGTATTAGCACAAAAAACAAAGCAACTTAAACAACTTACATTGAAAGAAATGTTTAATAAAGTAAACAAATAAATATCAAGCTTTTCTTTTTGTAAATTTTGATACCCTTTAGATCATAATTGCTCTTTATTTCATACATTACGGTTTCATATTTTTAACTTTATAATTTCTGCATGCCATCTTACCAGATTTAAATTGATGATCTATAATCCCGAAAAACCCCTAATCCGGAATCGCCGAAGTCCCGAAGAGTCCGGATTACAGACTTTGTACCGCATTACAGAAACAAGACTGCATTTTTAGTTCTTTCATAATAGAATTATTTTTCATCAATTTTTATGCATCCATACCTAACTTCCCAATATTGAATTAGGATGACCATCTCTGTATCATGAAAATGAGGAAGATTTAGTTATGATCATCCTAAAAATAAAGGTTAGATTATTTGAAAATGGCAAAGCACACGATGCCTACCTGTCTAAGGATAGGGATGTCTTCATCAATGACTTAATTGTTAAGGCAAATTGCCTCATATGCATATTACATACGAGGAAAATTTTGAAAACCAAGCACACAGCTAGTACATTTCCAAGACATCAACTTAACCATTCAGCTGCTGGTGGGGGCCATAAAAATAAGAAATCAGACAGTTTTTTTTTTATTAACCTGTCAGTAGCTGCTATTAGTGAAAATTACTCAGTCAACACATAAAGAATTTCTATACACTTCTGTGTCAACATCAGCAAAGAATGATTTAAATGCTTGGTTACTTCCTGATACTAAAATGTGTCCATACATGTCTTAGAGTATTTCTAAACCCACATCTAGATACAGGCATATTTTGTGGCATTATGCAAAACATGCTAAATGCAGTCTGCTTTTACAAATATTCCTTATTTTCTTTATGTCATTTCATCACTAAATCAAGCTTTCTCTGGCATGCATATGTACAATGTTAAATTACATCTTTTAAATCCAAAATGGTGAACCCCAAGGACCCTCTGGTCAGATCTGCTGAACACTGACAGTTTGCTGCAAGTTCATCAGTAAGTGCACAGGTTATCTATCTATCTGTGGCATTTCTACTGCGTAACATGTATAAGATTTTGTTTCTCACAAAAAGTCCTCCAAGAAAACTTTTATACGTAGGTTATCTATGCTTTGCTATAATCAGTCAGTTATGAATATCAAATTTATTTTATAAATACAGTCAAATACTGAAAATCTGCCGACCTGAAGTCCGCCAACTCCTGAAATCCGTGTTGCCTCTCGGAATATAAACATTTAGTTTATAGGTTCCGGAAACCGCAACAGTACGAAATATCGAAGAAAAAAGTACTTACCGAATAATGACCTCATAATTACTGAATAATAATGAGTCAAAGCGGAAATACCAAATTACTGATATAAAAAAGTTTAAAAAATAAGATAAAATAAACAAGATAAGTTTTTTCCCCTCTAATCTGCATTGAGGTAAAAAAAAGCAGACGATTCACTCAATTCTTTGTTTCTGAGCTTTGTTATGTCACTTCACGAGATTGTTTAGTGCTGCCTTTTTTTTAATCCGGATATTTTGTGGATAAATTAAGAATATTTTTAATTTCAGCCCTTTTTAATACAATGACAGATAAGAAACACACTGTGATTTTACTGCTTGCAACGCTGAAAAACGTAAACACGTTGCATTAACGGTAATGCAGAAAGTGGAAATTCTGCAAAAGATGGAGGCAGGTGCTACTCCTCGATTTATAGCAGAATGGTATGGAATTGCGACACGATTGTGTATGATATACGGAAAAATAAAGAAAAGCTGTTGAAATTTTACAGCAACAGTGAGTCTAACACCAGAATCCGAAACCAGAAATCTTTGCACGAGGCAAAATCGGCAAACCTCGATGCTGTGTACATATAATACAATGAATAATAGATATCAATTTTATAATGTAATAATAATTTAATGCATATAATAAATTATTGCAATAATGTACATAATAATTTAATTAAATGTATGTAATACGCCTTATTCATTTTGCACTTTTAGTCCGAATATTATGCTTTACCTTTTCTGTCATGAAATCCTAAAATCCGCACAACCTCTGGTCCCAAGTTTTGCAGATTTCTGGAATTCTACTGTAGTAGTAAATATATCATCAGCCCATTCAATGACACCACCGCAACGTAAGGCTCCATTCTTGTAAAAGGGCTTGAAATAATGGCCACCAGCTCATTATTGGCAACCAACGAAATGCAGCTGGTGAGTGGAATGTGATAACATTGGAAACATGTGATTAATACTTCCCACAATTTATTTTCATGATTTTTTTTTTGTAATAGGCTATGTTTTATTTATACTCATGCTATACTTTCTGTGTCAAAATGTAAAATAAATGCTTATATTATGCAAATTATGATTCATCACTGCATAAAATGCTTAAGGAACGATTCCGTGGTTGAAACTGCCTGTGAGATTTTTAAGGTGCATTTTTATTGCCACTTATCAGTACAGGGAATTGTTGGAAACATAAGAAAAAAGAAGGCATTTTGCCATTCGTGTTTCGTTGCTTCATACTGATTACACATGGTTGTGAAATATTTCATGAACTAAAATATCTTACCAAATCATGCGAAGGTTGAAATTACAGGTGTTTATTTCACTGCATAAAACATATGTTTAAATGTATATGTGCATGATACTTTCGATATTACATCAATTGTCAAACCATACAAGAACCTTGGAATTTGCAGATAACACTGCATTCATCTACTAGACAAAACAAGGGAACAAGTATGCTTATTTCTGTCCTGTATTGTTCAATGGAGTTCAAGAATTTATATTTTTGACATCATTAAATCAAAATACCTCCCAGCTAGGTGAAACATCTTCCCCCCTTTTTTTAAATGGTTGAAGACATTAGTTTCATTGGAGATGAAGGTGTTGGTTTAAAAGAATCTTTAACAGCGAAACCATGCATTTTACTTAGTGCCGGGATATTTTTCACAGTATCTGTACCTATATTTGACCACAAGACATCATCCTGGCTAAACTGGAGTTATAAAAAATGACCTTTCAATAACTTATATTCAGATGCATGGTTTTGCAACTAAATTGCATTTTGAAGGATGATAAACTGGAATTAACTCCCCTGCAATGTTTTATAAAGCACAGTTTTCAATATGCCCCTACACACAAAGATGAGCTCAAGTTTGAACACTGTAAAGCACAGATTTCAATGACAAGTACTGTTCATTTTAATTATTTAAATGATATATACCATTTAAAGCACAGATTTCAATGACAAGAACTGTTCATTTTAATTATTTAAATGATATATAACATTTAAATTTTCCTTTAGTGTCACTTTACATCCTTGCCTACAGTTTCATAGTCATAACTCATTATGAAGATGTATGGAAAGAGATATTACAGTATATAGAAGACAGAAACTGACATGAACTATATGTGGCAAAACCAGAATATCAAAAATAGGAAATCATCATTCAGACTATTATTATCTCTAAACTTTAAAACTTCAATGACAAATGACTATCATGTGATGTCATCCATTAAATACAGACTAAACTCTCAATATTAATATTAGTTAATATCTTAGCCTAAGCATTTAATTTTGATTAAAGGCTTATCATAGAACGTGGAATATTTCAGCCTTCAATACCAACATTGTGTACATAAAATATAAAACATAATACGAAATTTCTATCTATGACAATGAGGCTGATGTAGATAATTTAATGGTTATAATGCTAATGCTATCATACCTTACTAGAGGCCATATCTCCAACTGAGCGGTGGGTGTGTATATTCTCCAACTGGTCAAGACACCAGTCAAGTTCTGCCAATGTCTCGGATGCCAGCTTTGAAAATTCATCATCTAAATAAATGTATATATATATATATATAAAAAAATTATCATTTTTGAAGGCAGCATATTTTAAAAATCAATTTACTTTTCATTTCCAACATTTTAAATATTGAAATTCAACTAATACTTGAAATATTCAGTTATGTATAGTCTATAAACATAAAATATATTTCTTGACCCCTCTAATCTTCAATTTAGCTTTCACACATAACCAGATGAATAGAAAAATGTGCAAAACAAATTATTTTTAACAGTTATGACAAATTCTAAAATTTTTTGTATTCAAAATATTATTAAAAAAGTTAATAATGTTAATTTGTGAAATTCAAAATATTTCTGCACAAAATTTATGTCAAAATCTTGCATTATGAAAATATACAAGTATGATAAGAAAACGCTAAGATAGAATTCTATTTTTAATTTATAACAGCCCGTTAAGTCTCATTTTTTAAATTTGGTTATTTCTCCTTTATATTCTGAAAATAGTAATATAGTACTTACAATAAACCTTTCTGAAAGACATCAGATCAAAATTAATCCTCTATATATCATTTTCACACAAAAATAGTGATGCATGTACTTGCATAATGGCAAAAGTGAAACTGAAATCTTTAAAAATCAAAACTTTTAGCCAGTCAAAAGAGGTGGAACCATAACATTGCCATTGTTAAACTAGTATCAATACTGTAAACTTCCATTCTTCCCTACGCTGAAAACATGTTGGTTGCCTCTTTTATATCATCAATTATAACTCTGTGAACATGTGAAAAGTAAGCTAATAATTATGGAAAAAGAGTGCATGACTTGTGCCAGTTCATCTATTTACACTTTACGCTGAGAATAAAGATGCATTCAACTGGATCATGATTGCCTCCTCTGTTTAACAATCTGGCTTTCATCATCAGTATTTATGATAAGTTCAAAATTTTCATCATGCACATGCAAAAGATTTCTGGCATATAAGACTTGTTCCTTCAAGTTACGATGTTTCTGTAAGTGCTTACATTAGAAATTTTTAGCAGTTCATGACTATACCGTAAAAAGTTATCAGGTTTATTTTTAGCTTGCTTACTACATTTATCACAAATAAGTAATAAAAAGTAGAAGAGAGGAAAGCAAAACCAACTTAGGTAAACTTTCATCCTCTAAAAATATTAGTATGCAAACAATAACATGTCAGCATAATAATATTTTTAAAGGGTGAAAGTTATTTTGTCCATGACTATGTTTGATATGTCTAGTCATAGACAATAGGCATATCATGAACATACAGAATGAAAAATTTTTTACACTATATTGCTTGCTATCAAAATTGAAAATTTCAGTAAATTTAGTCAGATCAGAAAACTTCAAAAACTACACAAAAAGATGGTAATTTTGTCTAAGTTTCAGAAACTTACAAAAGTTACTTAACTTTGTTTTGCATTACAACTGTAATCGTTTCTGTTTGTGCAGCATGCTTGAAGAAGGTGGGTACACACTTTATTTCCTTAGACTTACTCTTGACATGTACTTTCAACTATAAGTTTTCCCAAGATAAAACAGAGAATTTTACAAGAAGTTTCAGAAATGAGCATAGGAGAGCTCAATTTTTGTGATGGGCAATTTTTGTTTATTGGTTATTATTTGAAACATTTGAGAAGAGTGATAGTTACCTTTTCCTTCTCAACATCTCATTTTGGGAAAAAATTCTAATTTTTCTCAATTACATTTTCAGACTTGCCTTGGTCATTTTTCATTTCCCTTCCTTTCTAAATTTTTTAGGTGTGTGGAAACTTTAAACGATTAGCTAAAGGAGATAAATTTAGATAAACTTGGAAACACTTAAAGTAACCTAACTCCAAAGTAATGTTTTGTAAGCAAGTTTAATTTTTAATTTAGCTTATATTAAGACAATGTGCCAAGTAAGAAGTATCACAACATTAATTATAACATTAATTCACAAGTTTAAAAGTGTTTTCTGGTTAGTTAATGATTTACTTCAATTCTGGTTTCCATGTTCAAGAATGTTTATGCATCTTCACTGCCTTTATTTCTGCTCAATATCCCTACTGCCTCATATATTATAAGACCTTTAAAATTGAGATTATTTTAAATGCCAGTTCATTATTAAGAGATAACTATATTTGTTTAAATAATTTTTGGTACTTTCGCATTTTCCACATCCCCACTGAAAAGTCACAAACTTGTTGGTGATTTTTGCCAGCACTTGCATACCTATCAGCAATTAATTTCTTGCCAAGCTTACATACCAAAAACACCATCATTTTAAAAATTAGTACCACACTAAGGATTCTCTAGAAGAGAAATCAAGCATAAAATTAAAAAAAAGCAAGAACCATCAGTAATAAATCATACTAGTTGCCTTTTTTGAGAACACTTTCAGTAATTTTTTATCCTGTATAATTTCCTCATGTACACAACAATTTGCTTTCACTAAAAAAAAAAAAAAAAGAAACATTGATGAATGAATTCCATATTGCATACAGTTTTGGTATTGCACACAAGTCAACAATAAATAAAGTGAATAACTGTTGTAAATGAGATATTGTGAATAAAGTGAATAACTGCATTCTGCAATTTCACATCACATAAAAAAATTGGCCAACTAAATATAACTTCATAGAATAAGAATTTGTAAATTTCATATTTCTGCAGATATGCGAGGCTTTCTTTTACTCCATCAAACTCCATAGCCACACTGCACTTCATGAGAACAAACATACTCAATGCAAAAAGAAAAACTAATCAGAAAAATGACAGCTCAATTTCAAAAGTACAAAATCACATATACTTACACAGGTGTGTGCTTAGTGCATACTAGGGCTGCCACATAAAATACTTTTTTACGACATCGTGGGTTGTTACATAACTATTTTGGTAGCTTACTGCATTGCTTTGTAAATACTTTTTATAACTTTTCAGTTGGTCTTAGATAATCAGAAAGCCCCTAATTTTTTTCACAGTTTATGAAATATAGTGAAAACAATTGAACTTCATGGAAAAACTGAATTGTTCTTTTTATAAAAAATGTATTTGTGAATTGAATTCTTCAATAAAAAATATTATAAATTAAAACAAATGAATTATATCAATTTAAAGGCAGAAATATTGTACTATAAAGCAGGGTTTCTTAAACTGTGGGTCGCGGTACCTGCCCGCAGGGTGTCGCCAAAAATTTTAGCAGTTTTGATAATTATTTAACTTATTATAATAATTTTACAATTACCGAATATTTTTACACAATGTATCTGAAAATAGATAAAGACAATACTGACAAAGAAAAAAATGAAAACGTTTTGACGCATTTCTTTTTATGATATAAATGTTCATTTTTCTTGCTTTGCACGTGATGCTGCTATTTCGTCTGTTACTTATTTAAAATTTTCACATTGTTTTATGTCTTAAAATTAGAAATTTAAGTTAATGACCTAAAACTGCAGTAGTATATTACATTACAAGTGAAAAAAATCGACAGTTTCATTCACGCATGCGTCGGATTTGCGCAATACTTGCAGGGTTCCAAAAAACTTTTCTAAATATTATGGGGTCCTGGGGGCCACAAAAAAATCTCAGTCATAAAAAGGGGTAGTGACTGAAAAAAGTTTAAGAAACCCTGCTATAAAGCAATAATTTTATACTTCAAATGGTTAAAACAATTTTTTTCCAGACTACATAAATTAATGGAAAAGGATATCAGCATATCAACTAAGCACACAAGAGCCAAACCATACTGAAATGCATGGGAGTTATAAGTGAATTATTAGCAATCTTCCTTTTATAAGTCAAACATCACTTAGAAAGGGATTATCAAAGGACTTGAAAGGTCTCATAACCTATTAGTTTAATTGGGGGGGGAGGGAATTGTGCGGAAAAAGAGAATCTTGGCTTGGTCAAACTCCTGTGTTAGGCATCATATTGAGGACCATTTATTTTAGTAGTATAAAAGACAGAAAGTCAAAATTAACCTAACATGAACCTAACATACAGATGGAACTGTAAAAGTGCTCTATAACTTCATGGAAAAACTTTAAACGATTAGCTAATAAGTATAATTTTAACGCATCAGCTAAAAATAAGGAGCAAATCTGGAAGCATTAAGAAGTGAAGGTGGAAAAAGCAAAAAGCTGGCATTTAAATGCAGAAAATTACACATCTTCCAAAAGCACAACTTTTTATCTCCATAAAAACTTCGAAAGCATTTTGAATAGGACAAAAGTACAAGAATTAAAATGAAAACAGATGGAAAAAGATAATTATTCAGTAAAAGTCACACATACAAATGCATGTGCATGCATATATATATATATATACACATATCAGTTATGGATAAGGATAATGCAATAAAATCAAGATAGGAAACTGCATCATATTTTACATTAACAAGGATTCAACTCACGTTATGATTTGAACATCAATGAGGGTTGTTATGTTTTGTTTGTGCAAGCTGTAAATAAAAATCTCATACACACATTCTGAAGTATTTTTTCCCTCTGAGTGTTGTAAAACAGCTTGTAAAGCATTTATTTGTGTTTCAGGGTAACAATGCTTCCGACCATATGCAATGCTGGATGACTTCAAAGCTAACTAGATATATCAAAGTTTCAATTATTCTATACAGAAACTTATTAAAAAACAAACTCTTGCAAAAGAATGTGCTATACGAAAAGGGGTTTTAAAAGATCCATTTAAATTATGACACTAAATTACACCAAGGAAATGCATATTGTTAACTGTTTGTATGCCAAAATAAACTCTAGTTGTCTTAGTATCATCTGAATATGGTACATCCAATTATTAACTGAAATGGTCTAATGTTTCTAATCTAATAAACTTACTCATCCTGGATTTTATCTTAGCTTTCACTTGATAAATGCATATTCTGTATATGAAACTCATATTTTACCATCAAATGTAAATGCATACTGCCATGCATAATAATTATTATAAATAAATATACTTAGACAATAATAAATAACTCACATTTAAAATTTTTGTCCTTGCTAATCAGAAAGGTAATCAAATGCATATGACAGGGGATAGGATTCATTTTATATACAAGTTTTACATTGGCAAAACTTGTATATAAAATGAATCCTATCCCCTGTCATATGCTAAAGAAATATATATGCTAAAGAAAATGTTTGAAATGACATCCAAAAGCAGTCACACAGGCTTCATGGCAGCACCACATGGTCCTAATGCTCTGGAAGAGTCCTGATATCTTATATCCCTGCTAGCTACACAGATGTAAGCGATGAGGTCTTTAATTGAATCACCAATGCCTTCATTTGACCCCAAAAAATGAAATCCACGCATCACAGGTCTGGCAATCTGGTAGCCAATGAAACGGAGCATCATGACCTATCCAATGCTGTCCAAATGTAACATTTAGGTGCTGGAAGATTGTCACTGTAGTAGTGCAGGGAGCCTCATGATGCTGGAATCACACTGAGCAAAGCAACGGTTGAGGAACATATGCTTCTTCAAGAAGTTTAGGCAGACCTTCATGTAGGAAGATCAAGTATGCCCTATCATCCAGGTGAGGGGGTAGAAGATACGGTCCAAGGAGGTGGTCTCCAACAATGTTGGCCCAAACATTGACAGAGAAATGGTTCTGCGCTGCACTAATAATGCACACTGTGCCATAAGGGTTATCCAAAGCCCATAAATAGGCATTATGTTGATTGAAGGCTCCCTCTCTTGTGCAAAATGCCTCATCCACAAACAATATGGATGCATCAAATGCACTATTTGGCACACACTGTTGAAGTTACCAAGAAGCAAAATTCCTGCGGAATGGATAATCTGCAAGCTCCAATGCTTGGACACATTGCAAATGGTACGAAGACATTTGGTTTCCTGACAGTATCCTTCATACAATGGATTGAGATGAACCATATCTTCGAGTACCTATATTCATATTCCAATTGCCTTCTGTCAGATGTAGGGCATTCTCCTCATTGGCAGGTATCTCATCATTTGGTCCCGATTCATGGTAGGTTTCATGAAACAACCAGTCTCACATAACTTTCTGTAAAGATTATATGAAGAGGTGCACACTGGTGCAGGATACATTTCTGGCATACATGTAGTGTGCCCGTTACTATTCCCAGCTACATATGGGAGGTGCTTACAGACCAGTTCAACATTTGAATACTCGCCTATCCTACTGCCGCTCGAATCAGTTCACAAATGCTGACTTCCAACATAATTGTTGTTCACGCGACCTCCCATTCAGTGCCCTCTACTACATGACAAAGATATTTCCAATTTACGATGCTGCGTGATTCTGAATCGTCTTTGTGCCCTCTATAAAGACCATAAAGTCTTTTTAGAACTAATGACATGTTGTCCCTACTTCTTAACCAATTTTTTTACAAGCTGGGTTGATATGTATGTCTTCAGCCCCCAAAATTACAAAGTTAAATATTCTTTGTAATAACACTGCTTTTTTTTACATTAATTCCTCTGCCTTTCAAATGAGTACCCTGAGCCTACACTATGTTAGTTTTAATATTTTTTAACATATAGCAAATATATTTATAGCCCTTTAAGGATGGTTGATGCATATTCACATGAAAATCATGCCTCTGTCAGCAAGACTGAAAACTGAATTGATGTTTAATGATGAATTAAACAAAAATTGATGACAAATGGCATCTAAAACCTTTGCCATTCATTGCAAATGCTGAATTTTCTCTAACAGTATGACTAAATTAATGAATGTGAAAATAATATGATTAAATTTAGGGTGCCAAAAGTCAAAAGTCATCACAAAGTGATACATGAGAAATGACTCTTATAACAAAATTTCAATTTTAACAATTATACATACTCTTCTATTCTTGTGATACCTATATGCACAGGAAACCATATTTTGGGTGGAGGAGGGAAATGAAACAAAATTGTGCATGGATTTATTAATTTCAAAAAACAAATTGTTCAAATAAAGATAATGGCTAAAATGTACTTAGAACACAAACTTTATTTTCAAATTCAATGAAATTAAAGAACATTTAAAAAATAATTATAAAATCTGAAACAAAAAAAAAAAGTCAAAAGTCATCATGTTGCCAAAAGTCATCCAAAATGACTGATATTTCTTTGTTATGAAACTAAAGCAGAAATGTACAACTGTTACAAACAAATAAAATCTTCCAATGGTTACTTTAAACACAGATACTGACTTTTGTGAATTAAACATTCACAAACATATACCTGGAATTCTCTCAAAATAAAAGGAAAGCAAACAACTCCTTCATCATTGTGAAAAAATTACACAACAAAGTTCCAAATTTAATTTATTCCTGACATTTTAATTTTGGAATAAATTATTTGTAAAAATCCTACACAATATAAAATCTTATCAAAAATATCATAATAACAAACACTTTTTTACAGCAGATTTTAAAATCATGATTATTCATTAACCATTTCAACTCTGAACATCAGCAGAATAAATGAGATCTGTATTCTGCACTGATATGAGCACTTCTCAGACAAGACATAAACAGAGACAGATTACTTTACATAAATTTCTTGCATTAGATATTATAGAATTGATTAAACTGGCTTAGCTGTTTGATTAAACAGGCTTAACTACAATTAATACTATGATTCTATGATTATACTTTAATTGAAAAGGTTTAAAAAGAAACTGAAGAGAAAGGTGGAAAGAGAAACTAAGGGAATATAACTGCCATAGATTGTGCCAATACATGCTCAACGCTGGAAAAAAAATAAACACAAAGACTTTTCTACTAAGCAGACTAAATATGCACAGGTGCAAAATCATAGGAAATTATATCATGAAATGAGTCAAACACTGAGACAATTATTCAATACAGACATGTTCTTTGTTCTAAATTTTGATTCATTGATTTTACAGTTCTACTTACCAGAAAGGGGTTTAGATACCGGTGAAATGTTAGAGGAAGAATTAGATGGTCTTCTGTTTGACCTAAACAAAGGGGATGAAAAAAACCTTTTGTTATGTTAAATGCATATTATACATATTAAAATGCATAATAAAAGAATTAAAATTTTAAATAACTTCTAATAAGGCTACTGCTACATATGTCTAGAAGATACATAAGAAATGACTCTTATAACAAAATTTCAATTTTAACAATTATACATACTCTTCTATTCTTGTGACACCCATATGCACAGCAAACCATATTTTGGGTGGAGGAGGCAAGTGAAACAAAATTATGCATGGATTTATTAATTTCAAAAGACAAATTGTTCAAATAAAGATAATGGCTAAAATGTACTTAGAACACAAACTTTATCTTCAAATCCAATGAAATTAAAGAACATTTAAAAAATAATTATAAAATCTGAAACAAAAAAAAAAAAAAAAGTTGAAGGTTCAATTTATAAAAATTTTAAAAGTTAAATTTTTTTTGAGTTTTAAAATATCTTTGTCTTTACAATTGCTTTCAAAACAAAATATAATGCATATTTATTGCAAATATTTCATTATGTGAACTGTAATTTCTTTTGGCATCACTATATGAACATTTATATATGCACATTATGTTACATATGTATATAAATATTTACATATGTACATATGCAGAATGATTCCAAAATGTCTGGCAAAAATGCACAGGATCAAAATAAGCAGATTTTATAATAGAATGTGTAGGTAGAAATGACATGCATAAATGCTGGCATATACGGCAAGTATGAATAGTTAAGTAAGGAAGACAGCTGAAGTCAAAAGAATTTTAATAATTCAGCTTTTTAAAATACCGTCTTAAAAGCACAATCACTATTCTAGATTCAGCTCTTACTTTATATGCTGGAATGTTTTGTTGCAAATAACTTTTAATTTGTGATTATATTTCCCATTTGTATTTTGCAACATGTGTGGCAACATAATTTTTATTTCTTGTTTTTGGCAATGTTTTCAGTTGTCACTTGTTTTACTTTACCATGCTTACCATGTAACATTTACTGTGCCTATAATGATTTTGTATTTCAATATATGTTAATCCAGATGAATCTCTGTTTATTTATTTGTCTCCATTCTTAATGCTAGACTTCATCAGGTTATGGCCCCCAGCATGCTATAACTGTGCAGAAACATTTAGAAGCAAAGTGGAGATAAACATTAGTAGCACTTTATAAGCCTAACACGGCAGTTCTTAAGCCTTACGTGAACCGGGAAATTAGTTCGCAAAAATGGAAGCTGCGAAGATATCCATTAAGCCATTATGCGGAAAAAGTGATTGGCTTATTTGGAAATATCAAATTAAGTTCGTATTAAATTATCACGAAAACGCTCTAGAAGTCGTGGAAGGAAAATTGAAGAAGCCAGTGGAGCCTGATCATGCGGCCACCGAAGAGATTCGAAAGGGATTCAGAGATGACATGAAGATTTTTAATAAAGCCAATAATTGCGCTATGGTGATTCTTATGAACTCCATGACTGAAGATAATTTACAAAAGGTAATGAGATTCGACAGCGCAAGAGACATTTGGCTAGAACTTCACAAAGTAGTTGAAGATTTGTGCGATACTCAACTTTATAACATATGCTTACAGTTCTTCAAATGCAGTTGGCCAAATGATGATATGGCAGCTCATTTATCAAAATTGAAAAAAATCTATGAAATGATCTGAACAGTGGACTTGAAAATAAGGAAGGATTTTTAATAAACCCAATAATTGCGCTATGGTGATTCTTATGAACTCCATGACTGAAGATACTTTACAAAAGGAAATGAGATTCGACAGCGCAAGAGACATTTGGCTGGAACTTCACAAAGTAGTTGAAGATTTGTGCGATACTCAACTTTATAACATATGCTTACAGTTCTTCAAATGCATTTGCCCAAATGATGATATGGCAGCTCATTTATCAAAATTGAAAAAATCTATGAAATGATCTGAACAGTGGACTTGAAAATAAGGAAGAAAACAGAGTACCAGAAATGCTGTTGATTTGTAAAATATTGGATACTCTTCCTCCCAGTTATCGTATTTTCAAATCGAGTTGGTTACTTCTTAGTGATGAAAAAAGAACTTTAGATGAATTAACCACACAATTGTGCACCCATGAAAAAGAACTAAGGAAAGATCCAAATTTTTTAGAAACTTTAGATCAGGAAGCATTGATAGCAAATTCGGAACTTAAGCGAAAATCATCTATTAACAAGAAAAACAATGGCAAGTTCAATTATTGCCACCAGAGAGGACAATGGGTCAGAACATGCAAGAAATGGATAGCTGATGGAAAACCACCAAAACCTAGTCCACATACAGGGCAAAACAAAGGAGGTAAGAACAGTGTTGCTGCAAATATGACACTTCTAGCTGTAGATGAGGCAATATTTTCTGCAGAAACAAATTCTGATGATTGGTCTTATTGATAATGGGGCCTCAAAGCATGTCGTCAATAACAGTTACTACTTTATAGACTTTGAAAAATTTAAGCTTTCCCATAGCATCACAGTAGCAAATGGAAAGTCATTACCAGCAATTAGAAAAGGCACTATCAAGATAATGACCATTGTAAATGGGATGAATGAAATCAAAAATCTTGAAAATGTCTGGTATGTTTCAGAAATAAGTAAATATCTATTTTCCATATTAGCATCTCAAGATAGAAACCAGAACAGTGTGTTTGAATCAACATTTAAGGATTGCTATTTAAAAATAGATGGTGAAATAGTTCTGCATGGTACAAGAAATGCTGGTGGGGGTATCTTCAAAGCCGTGATGAAGACCTTAGTTCCTGAAACTCACATTGACATAAACATGACAGAGAATAATGAATCAACTCTCCAACTTTGTCATGAACGTTGGGGTCACCAAGATAAAAAGCATGTAAAAGACATTGTTGAGAAAGAGTTGAATATTAAGTCTGATATGAAATTATGTGAAGCTTGTGTATATGGGAAAGCTCACTGCTTAAAGTTTGGAACCAGGAAAGAGGTTACAAAAGCTGGAGAATTGTTCTTGACAGACATTTGCAGGCCATTTGATCAACCATTTAGGAAATACTGTTACTTTGCAATCTTCAAAGATGCCTACACCAAATTTCGATACTGTTTTTTTCTTAAAGCACAAATCAGAAGTAAAAGATGTGCTTGAAAATTTCATAGCTCATGCTAAGAACTTAGGACATACAGGTTAAAGAAATCCTCAGTGACAATGGTGGAGAATTTGACAACCAAGCCATTCGAAAGATCTTGAACAAGCATGGAATCTCCCAGAGGCTCACAGCTCCATATACACCAGAACAGAATGGCAGTGCTGAACGAGAGAACAGAACAGTTCTAGAAATGGCCAGAACTCTCAAATACTCGAATGAAGAAGTGGACTTTCCCCAGCTTCCCTATGGGCAGAGTTCATCAGTACTTCAGTTTATATACTGAATAGGACAGAAAAGTCTTCAGTTCCTAATTTAAGTCCTTATGAAATATGGATGGTAAAGAAACCCAGAATAAAACACATGCATATCATTGGATCGACTTGCTACTGTGTCCCAGTTCAGAAAAGGAGAAAGATGGACAGAAAGGCAACTAAAGGCTATCTCCTTGGGTATGATGGAGATGAAAGGTACCACATTTACATCAAAGAAACCAGTACAGTAATCTATTCCCGAGATGTCATATTTGAAGAGAAACCTTTCATGACAGGAAACATTATAACATTGCCTCTGCAAAAGAAACTTGTCTCAAGATGATGAAGTTGAAAACAAAGTAATAGACGAAGGCTCTCAACAGGAAAAGAAGGAAGTGAAGAATACACCAGAAAAGGAGGCTCAACCTAGAAGACAAATTTCAGCACCTAAATGGACAAAGGATTATATCATGGAAAATTCAGAGATTTATGAAGAACATCCTTCAGAATTACAAGTGGAAAGCAGTGCAGTTGACAATCCAAGAAACAGAAATATGAAGGCTCAACACTCAAGAAAGCTTTCCAGAATGATCCTGAAACTTTAGAAGAGGCATTAACTAGTCCAGATGCAGAAAAATGGAAGTTAGTCATGGCAGAGGAGTTGGAAAATTTAAAACGAAATGAAATTTGGGACATAGTTCCTAGGTCAGAAGGGAAGGAAAGTTGTGAAATGTAAGTGGGTCTTCAAGAGAAAACTTAACAAAGATGGACAAGTGGAAAGATATAAAGCTCGTTTAGTTGCTCGTGGCTACACCCAAGTCGAAGGAATTGACTACAAAGAGACGTTTTCTCCTGTAATAAAAACAAAATCAATTAGAACTTTATTAGCATTCTCAGTTGAGCGAAACTGGCAGGTTCATCAACTTGATATTACTGCAGCCTATTTAAATGGAAGACTGAGTGAGACAATTTTCATGGAACAGCCACCCGTGAGTCTGCATGAGAAAACACACAGAGAAGTTTGCTTGCTAAAGAGAAGCCTTTATGGACTTCATCAGTCTGGGAGAGAATGGAATATGTGCCTCGATAAATTTCTGAAATCAACGAGCCTAACAAGATCCAGAGCAGATCCTTGTGTTTACTTCAATAAAGAAAAGGAGTTAATTGTAGGTGTGTATGTGGATGATCTTCTTGTAATGTCCAGCAAAGAATTCATCATTCAGGAATTTAAGGATAATATTGCAGCTACATTTAAAATCAAGGACTTGGGAGAAATACATCACCTTCTTTCAATTAGGATAAGCAGAAGGGAAGATAGCTGTGTGACTCTTGACTCTTGACCAAAGTGTCTATGCTAGTGAACTCTTGGAAACAACCAATATATGCAAGATGCTAAAGGAGCATCAACACCATTAGATCCAGGTATGAAATATACAACAGCCACTAAGGATAACATGTTGAATGCTGAAGGAGCATTAAAATATAGGCAGGCTGTTGGAGGGCTCTTGTACCTAGCAGGAGGAACAAGGCCAGATTTAGCTTTTGCTACTACTTACATGAGCCAATTCAATAATTGCCCAAGCAAGGAACATTGGGCTGGTGTACAACATATCCTTCGTTACCTAAAACAGACCAAGGAATTAAAGCTGACTTTCCAAAAGACAGGAAAGAATTTGGAAGTGTTTTGTGATTCTGATTGGGCTGGTGATAAGATTGACAGACGATCATTTAGTGGCTATGTGGTGCTACTAGCAGGTGGAGCTGTCTCATGGAGCAGTAAGAAACAACAGACGACTGCATTGTCAACAGTTGAAGCTGAGTACCTCTCAATGTGCCATGCAGCCAAGGATGTACTGTTGTTCCAAATTTTTTTAAAGGAAATTGTGGAAGAAAATTTTTTTAATTTCCCACAAAACTTATTTGTTGATAATCAGGGTGTCATTTCTTTAGCTAAAAACTATGTAACTTCAGAGCATAACAAATATATTGAACTCAAGCATTTTTTCTTGAGAGAAAAGGTTGAAGAGAAGTTGTTAAACTTTACGTACGTGCCTTCTAGTTCAAAGGCAGCAGACATGTTGACAAAGAGTGTGCAAAAGAAAGCCTTGTTCAATCAAAGGTTCTGTGTAGGACTGAGGGAAATTTAATCAAGGGGGAGTGTTGCAAATAACTTTTATTTGTGATTATATTTCCCATTTGTATTTTACAACATGTGTGGCAACACGCTTTTTATATTTTTTTCTTGGCAACGTTTTTTTAGTTGTTGTCACTGTTTTACTTTACCATGTACCAGTAACTTTACTGTGCCATTGCCATTTTGTATTTCAATATATGTTAATCCAGATGAATCTCTGCTTATTTATTTTTCTCCATTCCTAACTTCATCATGTTTGGCAGTACTTCAGTAATGTTCTTTGAACATCCTTTGACCAGCTGCTCTATTTTTATTTGCAAGCCCCATATAGAAGTGCATGTGGACAAGTTCCATGCACATATATCCATGTATACACTCAAAATCTGCAAACTAAATGATGATTTATGACAATGAATTGCTTTCAGTTACTGCTCTCAACAGCATGCTGCAGCATCTCAATGTAGTATTTCTGTACACACATTTCATTACAATCTACTTATTTCAGTAGCTTTTATCTACCTTTACATGTTTGGGAGGTACTTTTATATCACCATTCCTATGTGCACAAATTCATATATAAAGGAAATAAACATATAAAGGACATACGAAAAGAGAAGTAAGAATTTTCAGCTCAGAGTCGTAACTGCTTAATATTAATTTTTTTCCCCCTGCTTTTGAGAAAAAGGCTGAGAATAATACTTTTTCGACTGAAAGCTCAAGATTATTTTAGTAGCATAAATTTTAAGGCCACACTTCAGCATGAAGCAAATCAATCAATTACCGGTACTTATGTGTCATCAACATTTAAAATAAGATCATAGAGTACTTATGCATTAATGCAACCACCTCAGTAAAAGTCACCATACTCTGGCAACCATGCACATAAACACTATTTTGTTTTAGCAATAATAGTGCTATTTTCGTAATTGTTCTTTTTGTAGTGTTCAGTCTTTTTAGGAAAATCAAGACTTTTTTTTTACTTCATAAACTTAGTATTACAACAATATGTGCTTGCAAGACTTGCCTACAGAGAAAAAAAGTTCTCCACAATTTCTGCAGGAGTACAGTATTTTGCCAAAAATCACTTAAAGGGAGCAAGTACTTTGAGTCTACTCTTAATGACTGTCACAAATTTTCCACCAAAATAAAAGATATGAAAATTCAATTCTATGTTTATGGACTAATTTTCAAAATAAATACCTAATTAAAACATAAAATACATGTGTATACACTAAATAATTTTTTGAAATTACAAGATGTTATTAAATCTTTTCTGCAAAAAAGCATCAAATTGTGCCAGGTTGTTGCTCTTGTATGTATGTACCAGTCATAGTAATAACAGGCATAAAAAAATCAAGTGCAAAATTTAAGCACAAATTTACAAAGCATGCATTCATATCTAATTAGCCACACAGAAACCAAAAATTGCTACTAATTAAAATAAGCAAAATTAAACATTGCAGTAAAAATCTTTACATCTAAACAAAGTTTAGCAACAAAATATCCTAAATAACTTTTTATTTATTTATTTATTTGTATGTGTGCTATATATATGTTAAAAATATTTTAAAATCTTTTACATAATTTAAATTTAAATTTTGATGCATACTATTTAAAATGTATTTAAATGAAATTTGAATGTGCAATAATTATGACTATTACTTCATTCATAAAACTGCAGTCCAGTTATTTAGGTGTTCAGTTAAATGCATAATTATAACAAATAAACTGACTTAATGCACCATACTTCAGATAAATATTATTTCTCATGGATATGAAATTATTATCATTAAATCTTAATTCTATAATAAGAAATTTAATATAAAAGCCATTCATTGCATCAGAATGAATACATATCTGGTGGCATGAAGAAATTTTAAGACCCCTTCAAAAAACTTCCATACCTGCCTAGAACTTTCAAGAAATTTCTATGCCTGTGGCTATAAATACCTCAAAGTGTGTACTGTGTATAACCAGTGATAAGTTTTAATGGGCTCACAAGGATTCTTTGTTAAATTTGTTTGTCCCTTGTTCTTTTTATTTCCTTATTAATTTCCTCCGAGTTATGGTTTTATTTTAGCATCAAGATGATGGAAGAAGTCTCATTGTTTAATTTTCTATTAAAAGATAGAAAATACAAAAAGATTTTCTCCGACTATGCAGCATATTTAAGATTAAATGACAATATCTTTAAATGGGATCTTTAAATTTCATAATCTTTAAATTTTAATTTCTTAGAGATAATGTAATTATAAAAAATGTTTCTGAAAAATTATCACTTGGTCCAGGCTTCCTAGATCAAATAATATGAAAGAAGAAAACAATGTGTGACAGCTTTTGAAATAATTTGTGTCCCATAACTGAATTTACTCATTATTTTATGCTATTTCTGTGATAATTTGTAACTTTTTTTTTTTTTTTTTAATTTTACAGACCTTGTTTACTTTAAACTGCTTTTTTGTTCATTTATAATTACTTTTATTTTCTGTTTTTATAAAAAGTAAAACATTAAATTAGAATTTGATATTTTGATTTTATAAGATAAAGTGTGAGACCTTTAGTAAATTTTTCATAGCTCACTGCTGAGTATACTGTTTAGCATTGATCTATTTACAAAAATTTAATTAAAATATGGATTTAAAGAATGGCAACTTTACTTCATGAGTTCAAGTTAACACTTCACAAAGCTAGCTCAGAGAAATTTATGCTTAAAAAATTAAAAATTAAACTTTAGTTTGATACTGAATTCTAATGAAAAGTTTTAGTGCATTTGAAGAGAAAACAGACATGGTCTCTCTCTTCTTCATAAGCACTTTTTTGACAAAGATGGGTAAGGGGGATAAATTTAAATAACATTAATTTCTTTGCTTAGTTACTCTATTCAATCCATACTAATCTGAAATATGACAACTGTGAAAATCCATGTTATTTGTTATTGGAATAAATCTAAATATTATTCAAATGTGCATTATTCTTGAAGTACTGTTACAGTTGTAATTCAAATTAAATAAATAAAAATTAATTAAAAGTGATTAAGAGCTATTAGTGACAATTAAAAATTAATAAGGCCCTAAAATGTTCTAACAAATTTTGTTATACACACTTCTTTATCCTCCAACATTATAAGCATATAAATTACAAAAGATAAAGAAAAATTGTTTCCTTCGGAGTTTTAAATATAAATGCATATTATAGGACAACTGCGGGTTAATAACGGCAGTACATATAAATAAATGTAGAATTTTGTATAAAAAATAAATTTCAAAATATTTACGTATTGGAACTACTTGCATATATGCATTACTTTCACAGTCACATTAACTTTGCTACCAAAGAACAAAATAATTCATATTGTTATATAATTATGTATTCCAAAGAGCATTAACTTTGCAATCAGAGAAGAAAATACTTCATATTATAATATAATTTTGTATTCTAAAGACCATATCTTTTAGGGTAGAAAAATTATTATCATTTATCAAAAATTAAAACAAAGTTTAACAAAAATTAATTTACCTCTCAGGAAGATCAGTCAAACAAACATAATTATTCCGAACATTTTTCAAACTGGCCAAAATCTGAGCAAAAGGTGTGACAATAAGATCTTCACAGTGCCTACAAATACACCAATTATTAGAAAAAGTACACAGTATTCAAACGCACATATTTAAGTGTACAATAATTATTAAAAACCATGATTAATATTTGAAATTCAGTAAAAAGTTAGACAATATCATACTTCAACTAACAGAGTCAAAAAGTTACACTGAACTAATATCTTAACTGAATAATTAAGAACCGAGACACAGAAAATTGTTCAAAACTAAAATAGTATACTTACAGTTTTCTGGAGTTCAAATAAGGAGAACGTGAAAAGTTTATCATACACCACAACAAAAGCATTTTCGCAGTTTTAAAATTTATAAATAATGTCATGCAAAGAAATTAAAGATTTATATAATCATGAAATATGCAGGTTTATCCTATGGGATCAAAATATTCATATATATACCCGGAAAAGGCAAATCCTGGTTGGAGTTTTTCCCAAAACGAAGATCTTTGTTTACAACGTAGAACACCCGTACTAAGCGTCCTTGGCAACGCACCTTCCTCCTTATAGTCCATGGCAAGAATTAGAGACATTGTATGTTTTAAAATATGAAATATATTACTTAAATATAAAAAACATGACTTAAATGTAGATCCACGACTTTGAATTTATTGCTTAGTAACTTTCTGGAATTGAAATTCCTTTGCTTAAAAGTCTGAGGAATAAATGCTGAGATCTGATATATCAATCTATACACAAAGTATTTTGAACTTGAGGACTGGAGGGCTCTTACTCGAGGTCGAATTAATAAATATCAATGTAAATTGCAGAAGCCGTAAAGATTGTATCTATTGTCCTCTTGCGATTCCATCTAGTCGGTTACTGAAAATAATGTGACATGTATGGCCGGTATTATGGACAGGATGGAGATCGGCAATATCAAACGACACTTCATAAGTTCTTGATGAAATTCTTGACAACATGTCTTATTTTGAATTGACTGGCAGGAATTCGTAAAATAAACGTGCGCGCAAGAAATCCCCTCCGCAGCTTCAGACATCTTACTCCCACGAAACTTCCCTTTCGATGATATTACACATACCGCCATCTATTGTTCAGAATTTTAACTTCAGCTCCTCCCGCTAATCGTGAAAAAACATGATGTAAGTCGAGGCCGAAACGTTAATTAGGCGAAATAATCTGCTGATCAAGAAGGGCATATTACAGCTAAATTCTTTCCCTCCCGTGACTTGCAGGGTGGACTGTAAGAAAAAAATTTATTCATGAACTTCCACAATAAAGCATGCGTGCCGATGCATAAAAAAGTGCTATCTCGAGTTTAGTAACATTAGGGGAAAAAAATGCCCTAATTATCTCTGTTTGCAAACTCTATTAACGGATATACATACATATTTCAAAGTTCAGTTATTTATTTCCTCACTGCCTTTAAAACTCTTGGAATTGCCCATTTTCTAGAAGATCAGTAAAATTTATAGTAATGCACACAACACATACATATTTTTAATCAGGTTCTCTCTCTGTCTCATGTATATATTATAACTTTATTTTTGTCTCTTTTTGTTGTTCAGCTGATTTTGATCTCATATGCTTACTTTTTATTTGCCTTGAATGAGATAGAGCTACGAAAACTAATATTTCAGATAACATATTTGTATGTAATTAATTTTAGTAATTAATATCCTGCTATTCATACAATCACTCAGGTATATATATATATAAATACTAATAGACTGATATAAACCTCTGCCTCTGCTTTCTATCTATATCAAGCTTCTGTATTTATTATCGACAGATTTCTCAGCATTTTAGTTTTTGACGTCTTTATTGAGAAAGACCAAAATATTGCTGACAATCATTTCCATTATTCTAATGTTCGAAACAATGCTATTTCCTAAATTTGACTAGGCTGTTGCATATTAAGGATCGACTCTTGCTCTCATCCAGGTTTGATGTTGTAGGTGTTGTTAGATCAACTGTTTCTTTAGATTTAGACAGTCTGCTCGACATGTTTCATATTTTTATCATTTTTATCAAATGAATAGTTTTAATGCCTTTTTTTTTTTTTCCACAATTATTTGGTTTTGGGCGATTTGGGGGGAAATTGGGTAATTTTGCTTTTCTTATTCTAGCCTGCAGCGGTTGAACTGATAAGGACACAAGTTGTTTTGTAGTTTAGTGAAGATTTAAATTTTAATTTGTAATTTTGTGTCGATCTCAGTTCAGAAACCAACTGTTCCATTTACTTATCTCGTTACGCCAAACCCCCTGAAGACAATATGCCGAAGGATGCAAACTCTTTATAATATTTCATTATTATACACACTACAGGATTTTCATTTTCATTGGTTTCATTGTTTGTATTTTTATTGAATTTTTTTGAATTTTTTTCATATGTATATATATCATCATCAAAAACTCAAAGTACAAAAACATATAAAATTACAAAAATATTATAAACTAGCAGCTTCGCTGCCAGCCTTCGTCTGACTTTTAAATATACCAGAAAAATGGCTGAAGGGAACACCAAACGTTAAATTTAAAAACTGCGTAGAATTTTACTCTGCAGAACAACTTCATAAAAAAAGTTATTACGTATAACAAAATTACAATTAAATAAGCAAATATTCCTTAATACAAATATTAATTATCCTAATAAATAAATTAACCAACTTCCCTTTGCAAAATCTTAAGAACTCAAATGGTATAAAGGAGGTTAATAATTTTGTTTCCTAAAAAAAATCACTCAAAACTTTTCAATATCTTAAAGACAGTGAAATAAGCAATAAATAACATAAAAGAATACAAAAAACAAAAAATTCTGAAAAGCAAAGTATAATTAATGATATTTTATCTTATATTTTCAAGAGAAAAAAAATTACAATGAAATAAGCTGTATCTCTTAATACAAATATTAATTATCCTAACGAAAAAATTAGCCAACTTTCCGTTAAAGAAAAAAAAAAAAAAAAAAAAAAAAAAAAAAAATCATGCAAAACTTTTCGATATCTTACAAATTGTAAAATAAGCAAAAAATAACATGAAAGAAACTCAAAAAACAAAAAATTCCGCGCAGAATTTTACTCTGTAGAACAACTTTATCAAAAAAAAATCAATAATAATGTATTATATGTATAAAAAATGACAATGAAATATGCCAATCTCTTAAAAACAGTGACATAAGAAATACGATGAAAAATTGTTGCCAAACCCACATTTCTAAAAGAATGAAACTGTTCAAAATGATGCGATTTCATCAAAAATCTATCAACAACAATAAGAAAGGAAAATTGTTGCCAAAATCACATTTTTAAAGATGAGAGATGTGAGAAGTGTACTCGGAAGATTCATTTAAATTTAAAAAAAAAAAAAAAATACAAAATACAAAATATAATTTTTCCACAATTTTTGTTGTAAAAGCACTCGCAAGGATAAAAGTTTAACGTGTCCAAAAATGAATGAAAATAAACTGTACATTTTTAAAAATAAACTTTTTTAGAAAAAATTCCGTTGAAAAGGTGTTAAGCTCACTTTGTTAAATAAAGTCGTATTTAATCGATTTATTGAAACACGAAATTTATTTTAAGTTCGTAAAATAGCTAGGTGCCTACGTTTCATGACGATGTGAAAATGGAGTGTGCAGAGTAAAATCTCGCTTTCCTATAGCCCATTATGTCTCAAAATGACGCGATTTCGTCACAAAATATAAAATAAAAAATTAAAAAAAAAAAAAAATTTGAATTCGAATTTCGAAAAAATCGCTTCGACGTGCACTGGCTCTTGTCTAGATGCACCTATGTACCAAATTTCGTAGCCGTGGGTCTATTAGCTTACGCGGAGTGCGAACGAAAGACACACACACTGACACACAGACATGCTCTTTCTTTTATTATATGTAGAGATAATAATATAATTAAAAGAGAGATAATTATTGTTGATCTCGTGAGAGGAAAGCTGACTTATCAAGGGTAATTTGTCTTCTTCCGTAAAATCCGCAATAACTGGGAATGATCGCGTTTGTCCCCTTCGTCTATTTGAATAAAAGTTAAGAATTCATAAGAAAACTAGTATCATTTTTTTAAGAATAAATGTTTTTTTCAATCCCGCTCAATCGGAATAGTAGTTAGAGACGCTGACTGTACCGAAGGGCCCGGGTTCGAATCTCGGAGAGGTATGGGTGTTTATAAACGTATAGTGTCTATGCGGCATGGGGGCAGTCTAACTATGCGGCGAGCTAAAAGTCCTCTCGAGAGGTTGTGGTAGAGCAGCGTTTCTTAAACTGTGGGTCGCGACTCCCCTGGTGGTCACCAAAAAATTTAGCAGTTTTGCTATTTCTTTAACTTATTATAATAATTTTCAATTACCAAACATTTTTACACAAAGTATCTGAAAATAGATAAAGATAAGACAATACAGACAAAGAAAAAGGAAAAAGTTTCGACGTATTCTTTTTATAATAGAAACGTTCATTTTACTTGCTTTGCACGTGGCGCTGTCATTTCGTCTGTTACTTATTTAAAATATTCGCATTGTTCTATGTCTTAAAATTGGAAATTAAAGTTAATGACCTAAAAGTGCAAATGTATACTACAGTACAAGTGAAAAAATTGACATTTTTCATACACGTGTGTGTCGGATTTGCGCAATGCTTATGGGGTCCTACAAAATTTTAGTAAATAATATGGGGTCCTGGGGGTCGCGACTGAAGAAAGTTTGAAACTCTGTAGAGGAAAAGGGTTGGGAAACCCTCAGACCCGTCTCCTCAGGGCACTCCCCATCAAAACTGGCGGCAAAACTGAGCAAAGTTATACTGTCATCTGTATGAGCAAAGTTATACAGTTATACTGTATGGTGCTCAAGGCTCTTCCCGATGACAGGCGCAATCTTCTTCTTCTTGCTACGATGAATTTCGTGTGCTTGTTCTGATGTTACTGTCAGACAAGTGAGATACGTCACAATAACAACAACAACATGTTTCTTAAATAGGTTGGACGTTTTCATAATCGGTTATACAATAAACATACACTGAATATTTAAAAAAAGTCCT